GTTATACATTTAAACCAATTGATTGTACAGAAATTGCAAACGATCCTATGAAAAGAGTTCGCCCAATAAAAAACAAACAAAAACAATATACAATAATTAATAAGCAAATGAATAATATTTCAGATAGGGGGAAGGTCCTTATCGTTCCCCTAACAATTTTTTAATTTTTTTTATTTTTATTTAAACCTTCGTGCCATTATTATTTAATTTTACTATTTACAAGTACCAGTAATAATTTATGACAACTATTCAGTTGAAGAAATTCAATATTTGTAAAACTTGACTTTTTTAATTAAATTAGTTAAATCACTGCCTACACTGTCTTATTTTCCAACAATTCTGTACACCCCAACAATCTCTGAATTTCATTAAATATTATAAAATGTAACCTAAGATTTTCAAAGAAAAAAAAATCACAACAATTCCATGCTTGGAACACCAATCTTCAAGACTGCTGATGTCACAAACACACTATGATGTTTAACAATTTGAGAGAAACCGAGATGATATTCTTACTTCACAATAATCTAGGCCACTAGACAAGATCACAGAGCAAAAAAGAAGATAAGGTGCATGGTGATTGGTTGTATCAAATTTAAAAACAATCTCACAAAAGGATGCATATCTGGTGCCTGGAAAGCTGGAGGATTGCACAGAACATGCCATTACTGCTAAATCTAAGTCTGGTTGGAATAAATTCTTTTGATTCGATCATATTTGACTAGGGGTTATATTACGCTTTTATATTATTAATATTTTCAGGGTAAACCTTTCAAGTCTACTATTCAACGCTTGGAACACCAATCGTCAAAACTTCTGAAGTCGCAAACACATATCAGTGGTTTATGATGCTGAACAACTAAAGTAAACCAGGTTTATATTTTTACTTCCCAATAATCTAGGCCGATAGCCAAGATCAAAAAACAAAACAAAAAACTTATAATCTGTATATCTGAGCTGGGAAAGATGGACGATCCCACAGATCATACCATTACAGCAAATTCTAAGCCAGGTTAGAATAATTTCTTTTCACTCTATCATATTTGACCAGGGGTAGAATTCAGATTTTATATTATTAATATATTCAGGGTAAACCTTTCAAGTCTACTATTCCGAGGATGTATCATTTGCATCAGTAGAGATAAAAAGTATAAGAGAAAATGAGAAAAAATTGAAACAGAAGCTGGCTGCCTAGCCATGCTTATTTCCCTGACACAATGCTGTCTAACTATACTGAATTCTGGTCATGGACAACTCATTGATGCAAGGTCAATATGAGAAAATAAAATTTGGGGGTGAATAGGTTTTTGCTAAGAAAGTAAATAAGTGAATGAAGATCAGAAAAAGTAAACTTAACTTCAAGATGAAGTTCTGAGTTCAAGTATATATATATATATTATTTTAAATGTATACTTTAACAAAGGTAAAATTATGTCACGTTAAGTCGGTGAAAAATTAGTCAATTCAGAAGGTGAATTTTATTATACATATTTCATCAAGTTGTAAAAATAAATAAAACAAATAACCTAACTTCCATTTTTAAGGAAAATGCACTTAATTAAACTGGTGAATTATATGTCAAAAAACAATAGGCATCGGACAAGATGCACTTTCAGTCTGATCAAATTTATTAAACCAATTGGCATAATTAAATGGAAATGTTTTAACAATAATCAAGTATTAAATTTTACCCATATATCAAAAGATTGTCAGCAAATGAAATAAAGCATTTTCAAACAAAAATATGAATAAAGAAAAACTACTAGGTGCATATGTTTGTGTTGATTTATTTTTAAATTTGTGTTTTAATTTAAATAAGTGAATAAGCTATTAGATGATTTTTCAGAATTGCAAAACTAAACTAAACAAATAAGTAAAATAAAAATTATAAGTGAATTAAGACTTATGTGTAATTACACAACTAGGATTACCCAAAATTGTATATAATCTTTAAAAAACAAGTGAAAAAAGATCTTGCTTTCAGAAAAAAATTATTCTTTTTCCGGAAAGTAAGAAAATAGAAGAAGAAAAGAAAAAGTAAGAAAATTTTAATTGGTGACATATGTAGGTTTATTTTGTTTTAACCTAAATTTTGGTAGGGAAACTTCCAAATTCTGTCTCAAAAGTGATCTTTTCAGTTAAAAATCAGACTGTTTTAATAATTTCAATTTGCATAAATGAAAAACAGACGGGTTATATTTTCAGCTTATTGAGAAATACAATAACTGTTTTTAAGGTCAGAAAAGTGTGGACATTGAATTGCAACAGCAACTGTGCATTATGAAAAGAAGCAGATGGAATGAAAGACTAATTGAATCAAAGAGAGGGACATAAATTTAAAAAATGGAAAGCTTACATTTTCAATTTATGCAGAAATAAAATACTTGGCTATTGGCATTATCATTAATTACAAACATTTTGGTGTGACATTCAAAACTGAAGATTTAGCAGTTATATCTTACCAAGTATTCAACAGAAAGCAAAAGTATGAAAAAACATCAAATTCAAACTGAGACAGGGATAAATTGTTGCATATAAAATTCTAAAAGTATAAAAGTCATATAAAAGTCTTCCAACCTAAACTTTTATATTACCCTGTTAATACTGACTCAAAAGTGATACTTTGAGTTGAAAAACAGTAGAAAAATAGTTGAAATTTTCATATATCGTTTGAAAAAATAATGTTGATACTCAATTATCTATTAATCTGATATAAAAAAATAAAACAAAAATTTGTACCATTTATTTTACATCCTTGAGAAAAATAGGAGTTACTGTTAACTTTTTTTTGTCTAACCCTTTGGCTTTGAGAAAAGTGAGTGTACATACAAGAGAAATCATACACTTATTTTTGTTTTGGTAAGTGAAACAAAATATGTGAAGACTTTCGGTTGTAAAAAACAGACCATTTCAAAAATATTGTCCATATTTTTCCACACATATTTAATCCAAAGAGGCGAAAATATGAATAAAGTCCACTTCCTACAAAGATAGAGTTAGAAAAGAAAACTACTATACAATCTAAATATAGAATTATTTTCAAAGATATCAACAAATGGTGCCTCCCAACCTCAAATTTTATAAAGGAAAATTAGTTAACACTGACTCAAAAGCAAAATGTTAAGTGAACATACTTTGTCATCTGTGCATTATTTAGATGCATGAATGAAAATTCAATTTAAACAAGGAGAGGGATAGAATTAAACTTTACAACCTAAGCATAAAATTATAAAACAGTGCCTTCCAAACTCAATTTTGATAAGGGTAAATTGTCAAGACTCGATCAAAATAGAGTTTGAGTGAAAATCCGAAGATTTCTATATTAACAGAGGGAAAAAAAATTACAGTTGACATTATGCCAACAACTTTTAAATATATTAAACACTTATGTCTGTGCATTATAGAGGCAGGAGCATGAACAGTCATAGAGAGGGACAAAATAGTAAAATTATGCTGTAAGACCTAAACATTAAATTATATTTAAAAACTCAACAAATGATTTCTTCAACCTAAATTTAGAAGGGAATAACTTGTCATCACTCAGTCAAAAGTGATCCTTTGAGATGAAAATCCGAATATTTCTATATTAATAGGAGAAAAATTATATTTGACTTCAGGTGTTCAACTTATAAATATCTTGAACAATTATTTTAGTTTTGGCAAGCATGAAAATAAGTTTTTTAAAATATTAAAAAAAAAAAAAAAAAAAGAGTGGTACTTTCAGTTGGTGAAAAACTTACAATTTCAATAAACATAATTAAAATATTTGCCAATTGTGCATGATATGGAGGCAAAAGCATGAAAAAAGGAGAGTGGGACAAAAAAAGCCAAATTATGTTGTGAAATCCAAACATAATAATAACTGCTTTATTAAAACAAAATTAAAACTCTTTGTTATATTAAAGAACAAAAGCATTTTGGACATGGATCATCCGATCCGTCTGCCAGAGGTCATTCCTATACAAATAAATATGCAGTTTAGAGAAGAGAGAGAGAAGAAAAGAAAAAATAGAAAAAATATACAAAAAATAAAATAAAATAAAATATAAAGTACCTAAAAAATGCAAAATACAAAATAAATAAATAGAGCAAACTAGTATTAAAAATGAAGACTTTACCCAAAATTTTGAGCACTTAATAACAATGAAAGAATAAAAATTAAAAATTAAATTCTTGAATCAATTCGTATCTGTAGCTGCAAGCATATTTAGCATATCGAATCAAGCACCGAGAATGTGAGCCAACCGCAATAGCTCACTTCTTGGGAGAGTAAAACAACCAAGGTGTAAAAACCAAATAGACATAATTTACATATTTCGCCAATTGTGCATTATATAAAGGCAGAGGCATGGGGAAAAAAAAAAAAAAAAAAAAAAAATGCAGAGAGTGGGACTAAAAAGTGAAATCATGCTGTAAGACCCAAACATAAAATTGTATTTAAAAACTGAACAAATGGTGCCTTCCGACCTAATTTTGACGGTAAAATTTTATCAAAAGTTGATCAAAAATGATCCTTTGAGATGAAAATNAAGTTGATCAAAAGTGTTGCTTTGAGATGAAAATCGAAACATTTCTATATTAGAAGGGGAAAAAATTACTTTTGACTTCATGCCTTCAAATTGTAAAAATATTAAACACTTATTTTCGTTTTGACAAGCATGAAAATAGTCGTCTCTTTTTTGAGAGAGAATGAACCTTTCAACTCTGAAAACTGACCATTTCAACAGACATATTAACATAGTTCGCCAACAGTTTATTGTATAGACCCAGAAACGTGAACGAAAGTTAGCGAATGGGACAAAAAAAAATTATGCTGTACGACCAAAACATAAAATATATTTAAAAACTCAACAAATGATGCCTTCTAATTAAAATTTTGATGGTAAAAATATGTAAACACTGACTCAAAAGTGATACTCTTACCTGAACCACGAAAAATTTTGTTAAATACATTTTAATAAAAGAAAAAAAATATCAGCATTAGAAAGTTTTCGACTCACCGTGAATCAAAACAACTTGTTTTTATGGCCAGTCAGAAAATAGGTGTGGACTTTCTTTGGGGTGAAAACTGGTGGTCTTCAGGTTATAACCTGGCAGGTGTTTTCATCTCAAGGTCTAAAGTTGAACGAACTTTTTATTTTTAAGCTAAACTTACTATACTAATGTTATAATTTATTACTATTATATTGGAATAATTGTTTGTTTTTAGGGGTTTTTTGGTTGTTGTTGTTAGGTTGAGATTTGTATTTGGGTTTTATCGATGAATCTCGACTCGATCGTCACGCTCGTGCCTGGCAGCCAATGAGCCTGCGCGGATTTATCTCAAAGCGGGACGAGTTCCGATGTCATCTAAAACGAAACTCGCCCGTTCCGGAGTAACCTTCTTGTTTTATCGGCGGCCGCTTACGATATTCAGCGAGACGCCAGGTCGACGAGTCGGACGGAGTCGATGCTGTTGTGAACGAGCCCGCCGGGGCGCGACATGGACTCCAAGTCCTTCTTCGGGGCCAACAGGCTCGTACATCTCGACCTGAAAAGGGCGCCGCTCAAGGTGGACTACCTGGAAAAGGTAAGGGTTTCGAGGGACGAGACGATCGCCCGGGTCCGGTTTGCGAGGAATACGCCAAGGGGAAAGGGGAGAGGAATAGACAACACGCTTCCCATGAATCAACCACTTGCTAAAAATTCAATTTTAATTTTACACACAATATTTCAAATAGGAAACAAACTAAAAATTAAAAAAAAAGTTTACATACAGTGACTCATCAAATTGATCATTTTATATCAGCCAAATTGCACCTCCATTGTTGCAAAAATAGGTACTAGTAGAATGTCAAAGGAACACTAAAGGCAAACTCCTATGGGTATTCGGAAGGCTCCAAAACAGACAAGGGTATGAGAGCTGGAGTCTTCGGGATGTAGCCAAAGACCGAACTGATAGTAAATCTAGGTAAATGAGCTACAGTTTTCCAGTCTGAAATTATAGCGATTGAAAAATGTGCCAGAGAAATAAAAAGACTAGGAATACATTCCTGGAAGGGGGTGTCGGTGGCCACAAGTGTTGACATGGCGCTCATCACTGTAAGGTAGAAGTTAGGCATTCGAACCTACGTACTTACAAATGGGCTTAAAAAAAAAAAAAACCCCGCACCCTGAGGGTTTGTATGACCTGCTGTTGCGAACCCTCATAAATTTTTTTAAAATCTGAACCTTACGAATTGGTGCACTCGGTGGTGGATCGGGTTAAACATACAAAAAAGCAACAAATAACGTTTATGCTTAAACGTCAGATCGCCAACCAGTGTACATGAACAACGTCCTCCATACAACTAAATCCATTACCATCGGCTTAGATAGAAGACATACGGAACCCACATAAAATATTTTAAAAAAAATATATATATGAGCTATTCAGACACCTGCTGGGACCAGAATCAACACTAAACATACGTAACAAACCGCTTATAAAACACTCATCAGACCGATTCAGACTTACGGTTCGAGAGGCTCGACCAAATCTGCCAACAAACGACTCTAATCCTTTCAATCCAAAGTTCTCAGCCGTATCCGGATCGGGTTAAACATGCAGAAAAACAACAAATAACGTTTACGCTTAAACGGCAGATCGCCAACCAGTGCACATAAACAACAATGTCTTCCATCCAACCAAATCTGTTACCTTTATCTTCATTTAGCTAGAAGACTTACGGAACTCACATAAAAGATTAAAAACATGCTACTCACCTACTGGGTCCAAAATCAACATTAAACATACATAATGAACCGCTTACAAAAACTTAGGCCAATTTAGAATTACAGTTCGTGGGGCTTGACCAAATCTGCCAACAAACGACTCCAATCCATTCAATCCAAATTTCTCTGCCGTATCCGGATCGGGTTAAACATGCAAAAAAGCAACAAATAACGTTTACACTTAAACGTCAGATCGCCAACCAGTGCACATGAACAACGTCCTCCATCCAACTAAATTCATTACCGTCGGCTTAGATAGAAGACATGGAACCCACATAAAATATTTAAAAAAATGAATAAAATATATGAGCTACTCAGACACCTGCTGGCACCAAAATCAACACTAAACATACATAACAAACCGCTTACAAAACACTCATCAGACCGATTCAGACATACAGTTCGAGAGGCTCGACCAAATCTGCCAACAAACGACTCTAATCCTTTCAATCCAGTTCTCTGCCGTATCCGGATCGGGTTAAACATGCAAAAAAGCAACAAATAACGTTTACGCTTAAATGTCAGATCGCCAACCAGTGCACATAAACAACAACATCCTCCATCCAACCAAATCCATTACCTTCAGCTTCATTTAGCTAGAAGACTTATGCAAAAAAGCAGCAAATAACGTTTACGCTTAAACGTCAGATCACCAACCAATGCACATGAACAATGTCCTCCATCCAACTAAATCCATTACCGTCGGCTTAGATAGAAGACATACGGAACCCACATAAAATATTTAAAAAACAAACAAATAAAATATATGAGCTATTCAGACACCTACTGGGACCAAAATCAACACTAAACATACATAACAAACCGCTTACAAAACACTCATCAGACCGATTCAGACTTTCGGTTTGATAGGCTCGACCAAATCTGCCAACAAACGACTCCAATCCTTTCAAATCCAAAGTTCTCTGCCGTATCCGTATCGGGTTAAATATGCAAAAAAGCACCAAATAACGTTTACGCTTAAACGTCAGATCGCCAACCAGTGCACATAAACAACGTCCTCCATCCAACTAAATCCATTACCTTCAGCTTCATTTAGCTAGAAGACTTATGAAACGCACATAAAAGATTAAAAACATGAACAAAACATGCTACTCACCTACTGGGACCAAAATCAACATTAAACATACATAACAAACCGCTTACAAAACACAGGCCGATTTAGAATTATGGTTCCTGGGGCTCGACCAAATCTGCCATCTAATGAATCCAATCTCTGCCATATCTTCAACGCCTCCTTTTACTTTGTATATCAAATGATATATAGAGTTTAAAATTCCAACCTCGAAGATACGAACATACTTCCTCAATTTCTACTCTAAACTATCTGCCCACCTAACCAAAACTGTTGCAAACCCTTGTAAAAAAAAAAAAAAGTTGAATAAAAACATTCCTGGAAGATAGCAATTTTCTCTGACAGTCAGGCAGCACTCAGGGCCCTAGGAAAGACGAATGCAGAGTGTTTGGAACTGCACTGAGCCCCTGATGGAAGTCAGCGACACTAATGACCTGACCCCGGTATGGTTCCTTGGGCACTCGGGGCATAGAGGAATGAAAAGGGGGCCAATATTGACTCTCTGGGTCCTGAACAATACTGTGGATTAGCATCCTGCCACAAAAGAGGATTGAAGCAAGATTCTGGTTGGACTCCTAACAGGGCACTGCCACCTAAGAAGCATGCAACGGATAGGAGTACAGGCAGAAGAAACACTGTGCAGATACTGCCAGGAAGAGGAGAAAACTGCAGAATATATTCTATGTTTCTGTGAAGGTTTATTTAGGTGCAGGTTCTTGCAACTAGGTCAAGAAAAACCCCAAGCAAGATCCTACACCAAGGAACCGCTGGAAAAGCTGTGGAGGCTGGTTAATGGCCTGAAGCTGGCCAATGTCCAATAATATATTAGCACAAATTCTGTTGAAATTATCTGTAAATCTATAATCAACAACATTTTGTTAGGTATAATTGAAATAATGTGGGTTTATTTTATATATAATAAGAAAATAAATTAAGAATATTAACTAAGTGATTTTCTTGTTTAAGTTGTCTGTCCTATATTAAGTCAATACGCTTATAAATCACTTATTCATGTAACAATTATTTGATATTTGCAGTGCTGCTTACTGCATTTTAACAAAAAGAAAATCATTTTAGCAGATTGAGGCTACATTCAGTGAATAAACACTCATGAATTTTCATTTGCCTTTTACTGTCCTGTATAATTGAAACATTTTGACGTGCAAATTTTAATAAAATGCAGGCCATATGTCAATTTACCATCTCATTGTTCTTTCCTTCTTTAAAAGAAAGGAAGAAAAATTACAGTTTTACAGTTAAAAATGTAAAAATATCAGACTACACATCACTTTTTCCCCCTATGGTGTCAAAATTTAGTTTTTAATTAATTCACACTTTCCCTTCCCCTTGACACTTTTCCGTATACTGCCTGGGCTGTGTTTCCTCTATTGAGAAGGCATTACGACTTGCCTCAAGTTGTTTCCTCTGTTGAAAGGCTGGGGCGCGACTGGCCTGCTCATCGAGTGGGAGGACACTTTCCCTTACACGGGCAATTTGGTCGAGATCGGTTCGGCCAATTCGCCAGCCAGGGCTTATTCTGACGATGATGTTGACAGGATCTACCAGCTGGCTGATGCATCCAATCTCATCGTGGTACCATTAGTTCAAACCTTTGGTCATCTTGAGGTAAGGCGCACAAATATTTTATTGGGTTGTCCGGAAAATAATGCAGGATTTTGGTATTAAACAAAAAAAAAGAAACTAGTTACTTTAAAGCAATGTCCTTTAATCAAAATAATTTCCCATACTCTCAATACATTTCTCCCAACGTGTTGGTAACTTATTAATTCCGTCTGAGTAGAATTCAGAATTTTTAGAATTGATAAAGTCAATAAATGCATTTTCCAGTTCCGTTTGATTTTTGAATATTATGTGTTGTAAGTAGTGGTCCAGGTGTCTAAAAAAATGGTAGTCAGTAGGCGAGAGGTCCGGAGAGTAGGGTGGGTGAGGCAAAGTTTCATAGCCAAGCTCCAATAATTTTTGTGACGTTACACGTGACACATGTGGTCGAGCGTTGTCATGCAACAAAATGGGCCCTTTCCGATTGACCAAAGAGGGCTTCATTACTGCCAATTTCTGATGCATGGTATTAATTTGGTTACAGTATGATTCAGCATTGATGGTTTCGCCAGGATTTAAGAAGCTGTAGTGTATTAAACCAAATGAAGCCCACCATACCGTAACCATTACCTTTTTTTGATGAGTTGGGGGCTTTGGAGCTTCTCCTTTGTCGAGCCACTGTCCAGAACGTCTAGTGTTATCGTAGAGAATCCACTTTTCGTCACATGTAACAATTCTGGCCAGAAATGGGTCATTTTTGTTTCGACAAAGAAGTGATGCACAAACATCAAAGCGCTGATTTTTTGGCGATCGTTTAATGAGTGTGGAACCCAATTTTCGAGTTTTTTCACTTTTCCAATCGCCTTGAGGTGGTCAGCGACGGTCGTTTTACTGACTTTGAGTTGCTCTGCAAGTTCTCGAACAGTTGTTTTGGGGTTTTCTTCCACCACTGATCGCAGAACATCATCATTAAGAGAGGAAGGCCTTCCACGACCTTCTTCATCTTCAAGGCTGAAATCTCCCTCCCGAAATTTTTTAAACCACCTTTGCACAGTGCACTCATTAACACAACCCTCGCCCCAGACTTGGTTAATGTTTCTAGCCGTTTGGGCTCCGCTTCGGCCGAGTTTAAACTCGTAAAAGAAAATCGTACGAAATTCTCGCTTTGACATTATAAGGATGACTGAATTATTTCCAAGTAGCGGAATGCTACAGAGGTAAACAAACAATATCATTTGGAAGAGGATTAATAAGTGTTGACATTCATACAAATGAGTAATCCTGTAAACGTAAACAGAATATTTTATATAGATTTTTTTTAATGAAAACTTAAAATCCTGCATTATTTTCCGGACAACCCGATACTTAAGTTCATTTTTATGTGATTATATTTTTTCCTGTGTAGTTTGTCCTTAGACATGAAAAATGGGCTTATCTGAGGGAAGTGAGCAACTTCCCGAGCTCTATGTGCCCGAGTCATCCAGAAGCTGTACAGCTCGTAACATCCATGATCGATCAGGTTATGGCAAAAGTGCCAAAACGACCAATATATTTTCACATTGGAGCTGATGAAGTAGGTCAACTGCTTGTCAACACAACTCTTTTTTAATATTTTAAATTTTTTTCAGGTATGGCATATGGGTCTTTGTGCCGCTTGTTGCGATCAAGACAGGAACTTACTTCTTTTGAATCACCTCGTACTCGTACTCCGGTACTTCAAAGACAAATACCCTGGAGTGAGGCCGATCATGTGGGACGACATGCTCCGCGGAGTACCACTGCACTTGCTCAAAGAATACGTTCTCGGTGATTTGGTCGACATCATGGTTTGGTTTTATGAATCCGGATTAAATTTCTACGTTCCTGAAGGTAATTCGATAGATTTTATTTTGAACTTTGGAAAATTTTAATCTTTATTTTTTAGATCTATGGGCAAAATACGGTGAGGTGTTTGGAAAGGCTTGGGTGGCTTCGTCCTACAAAGGCTCAACAGGTCCGTGTCAAGTCCTTCCTGTATTGCATCATCATATCTCTAATCATGAACAGTGGCTTGCTTTAATTTCAAAGCAAAACTGCTGTCTTATACTTGGCATCGCTCTTACTGGTTGGTCCAGGTCAGTCAAACAAAAATATATTTTATATAAAACATTTTTTTTACTGTAATTATATATTGATAAGTTGAAAAATTCCAAGTTCTCCGTAGTTGAAAACCTTTATTCAATTTAGTAAATTACATGTACGTTTCGGGCTCCTGGCCCATCATCAGAAACTAAACAGAGAAATCTCGTGGTATTATTATTCAAAAAAATTGGAAATTACTGATGGGTGTGACTTCAGATTGGGAATTATACCATGAGATTTCTCTGTTTAGTTGCTGATGATGGGCCAGGAGCCCGGAACACCATGTAATTTACTAAATTGAATAAAGGTTTTCAACCACCGGAGAACATAATTTTTCAACCTATAAATAGAGAAGATATGAACTGTGGAGTTGGTAATATTTAAAATAAGATGTAATTATATATCAATGGTGGGTTTGCATGTTTTTTGTGATTTCTGCTTGATGTCTGGATTGTAGGGATTTGTAGTGTTGCCTCTCCCCTGTTTATAACCCTGACCAACCACTGAATATGGCAGAGCCAAAATGCATCTGATTGGCCATACAGGGAGGATATTGTGGCCCAATATTCAGTGTCTCATGCCTCAAGCTATCTCCTTAAAGAGGTAGATGGTCTTGCATGATATATGGTCCAGTTTTAAAGAGTGGCACAGGATCTATGTTGGCAATATCAATACATTAACCCACTCTTTCACCTTTTTGGACATTTTCTAGCCAGGCCCATCTTAACCTGGTTCTGGCAGGAGCATCATCGGGTTAGGATCCTTGGATGGTGCAAACCACGGATCCTTGCTGACATGGCTGAGTCTCTGACCTGGGATGGTGGTGGATTTCTGGTCCATGTTGATGTGGCTGTGCTTATGACCTGTGGTAATGGTGGATCCTTGATCACGTGGCTGTGTGTGATCTGGGAGGGTCCTCACCTTGTGATCCTTGAAAGGAGCGAATTTTTGTGTATATGGACCAGGAGTACAGTGCAGCAATTCTGACACTTCCATATTGTAAATTTATTTTGGAAAGTGAACTGTTTCATTTTATTCATCGCTGCTTTTTGTAAAATAGAAAATTCTGATCTGATTTCAAAACTATAAAAGCTTTGTACTAAGATTTACTTTGCTGCAGGTACGACCATTATGCAACTTTGTGCGAGCTGATGCCGACTGCAATACCTTCGTTGGCACTGTGCCTTAGGGTATGTACAAATGGCGGGTATGACCACACGCTTTTCAAAAGGGTTTCTTCATCACTCGGTTACAAGGAGGATATTCCACCTTCTATGGTACCGTTTCCAAGGTAGATTAAACAACAACGGTATCTTTTTTACTTGGTTATTTTGAATTTGAATGTTATTTCAGACCTCAGGCAGTTGCTGGTGAACTGGATTACCCTGGGTGGCGGGCAGCAACCGGTGTTGAATGGTACGCCAACCTCAAGGGAAAACACCAAACCTTGCTTCTAGAAAAGTAAGTTTTTAAATTATGACATTAAAACATCCATACATTGAAATTATTTTTTAACAGAGTCGGTGCTTGGTTGAATCCATGGCAGCTGAAAAACAATTTTACCAACCCAATGCAGATCACAGGGCTCGTCAATGCCTTATACGAGTACGGTTTAATTATTTTTTTTTATTAAAATTTTTTTTAAAATTTTTATTTATTTATTTTTTTAAAATAGATTAACAGAAGAATGGTCTGCATTGGAAGCATACATGACAAAACACCTCGCTGAAGCTTATTACGACGTGACAATAGATGAGTGGGTGGCTACGCTTGTTCACCCTCTTAAGTCTGAAGTGAAACTTCTGTACAAGTCCGGGCAAAAACAACTCGACATGCATAAAAATCCATGAGGTTCTCGCATGGTATCGTTTTATTCTGTTCATATATAAATATTTGTGAGAGTTGAGTGCTATTTTTATTATTGTATTTCTTTGAATGTGTTTTCTTTTGTATGTACGAAACGGATAAAGAAAATATTCAATTTTTAGACTTTAATCTTTCCAGTTTTGACCTTCCCAGTGTATTTGTTAGCCAAATCGTAACCAATGAAAAGTGACAATTTTAAAGGGGACATCAGAACATTTTTAAAACACTGATGCAAATCTAACATATTAACAAAAACCAAACTAACATACAAAAACACTTCTGAAACCGATTAGTTCATATGGACTGGAACTATGCAGCACCATAAACCTACCAAAATCCAAATAATTAAGTCCTAATCCAAAGTCCTTGCAATCATAGTCATCGCTCCCTCTCTCGTCTCTAATACCTTCCACCCCAACCTCAAAATACCCTTTTTAAATAAATTAATCTCAACCGAATTGTTCAGGTTCCATGAAAAACTTTCCACTCACCCTAACCATATCCACCATAATACAATCCTACAATTATGTTAGAAAGCAGCGACCTTACCGAAATCTAGCCATTGAGTAAAATTGGCAATTGTTTTTTTTAATTTTTTTTATATATATATTATAAAGGCATACAACCACGATGGGTCAAAACTGCCTTGACGATGAATTAATCGATGGGACAAGAAAACAGAGAGCGATAGGCCAGGAGGGCAGGGACATCAAGAGCAGGCGCACCCCCACAGCGAACCGGACACCACAAGACCAGGCAAGAACCAGACACCCAGACCAGCTCCTCTCCACACAAGACCTTAGTGGTCAAGAGACAGTGGCAGACTTCTCAGAGGGCTGCGCATGGTGTGCCAAGCATCCGCAGCCCTCCCAAGTTCCGGGGTTCAAACTCAACCCAGTGGCCAGCCCCACCCACCCCCGGCCCCCCAGGAGCCGCGCCCGCACCCAAGGCCGCCCCGCCCTCCTACTAATTGTTATTCACAATTTATTGGTCAACCCAGATTCAGTTAGGAACTCAAAAAGCTTTTTAATGTTAGCTGGGGAATCTTTCAAAATTTCAGTCACATTGTTTCCAAGCTTATGTTTGACCCGAAGGTCTTCGTAGTTTCTGCATGTTGACAGAATATGCTTGATGGTGATTATTTCACCACAAGTTGTGCATCTTGGGGGAGGTTCTCTGGCCATTAGAAAACCATGTGTTAGTCTTGTGTGACCTATCCTGAGCCTGGCCAGCACGGTTTCTACTTTTCGAGATCTTTGCATTGCCGTATCCCACTGGCTGACACTTTCCTTAATTTCTCTGAGTTTGTTATCCTCGGTATTTCGCCATTCCGATTGCCAGAAGTTCCAAATTTTTCTTTTAAGAAACACAGCAAAGTCTTCACATGGCACTTCCGGCACGTAAATACCATTCAATGCAGCACATTTCGCTGCTCGGTCAGCCTCCTCGTTGCCTTTTATACCACAGTGACCTGGGACCCACAAAAAACTAACTGCTGTACTCATACTATTTTTTATAGCAAGAAAAATCTCTTGGATTTATGGAAAATTGGTTTTTGATGGTCAATAGAGCAGAAAGGGAATCTGTGCAGACAACTAGGGCTGTATGGTTCGAGTTTAGGATGTTAATGCATTTATTGATCGCAATTAATTCGGCAGTGTAGTTACTACATATCTGAGAAAGAGAGAACATCATTTTTCTATCCTGATAAACAAATGCCGCTCCGACACCACTGGGGTTACTAGAACCATCCGTAAATGTGAAAGTTGCGTTTGGGATTGAACTTTTTATTCTTAAAAATTCTTTTTTATAAATGTATGAGGGAGTATTTTCTTTAAGGAATCTTGTTAGATTGAAGTTTATTTTTGGGATAGGCATGAGCCACGGCGGAATCGGGTTGTTAACTCCTCTCAAAAAATTTACTGCGTCAATGTGATTAAATAATATATACTAAAACATTAAAAAAAGTATCACCAAAAAACATTTATCCCACCTAAGCCTCCTCTTGTTAGTTAAAGATTATTTAGCAAAAATGTCTAATTGACCAGAGGATTTTTTATTAAACAATTAATACGTTTAAGGCAAGAGTAAAATAATTGACAGGTTCTGGATTATTCAATAGAAACAATTTTATTTATATATATATAATATAATTATTTGATATTCAAAGATTTCTTTAATTGCACAAATATCTAAATTTCAATTCACCCCATGTACATAAACTTCATATAAAAATGCACATTACAAAGTTTTTCTTTACTACCCAATTAAATTGTATCACTTTTAAAGACGGAAATATATCTGCTATACAATTTTTAATGCATTTGCTTTTGATGTGTTACATATCTTTACACACATGTATTTTTTTAATTTACTTTATAGCAAAACATTTGGCATAAACAGAAATTTATTTATGGAAGATGGTGATGCTAAATTGATTTCCAAATTGACAGCATTTTAAGGTGAATTAATATGTCTTTTTTCCTTTATCACAACAATATTAAATTCCTCGTAAAGAAGCAAGGATTAATATATTATAGAGAGTAACAAAAGTTTAATTAAAATATTCTATAATCTTTTTTATAAATGAAAAGATAACTTATAAAAAATGCGGCTGTGGATTAAAACGCACAAGAACAGTTAAAAAAATCCAGCCATAAACTATGATAAAAACAAATAATATAACTGGGTTTATTAGGCGTACATGTAGGTAAATAAAATTTGTGATAACAAAGTGGCTTTGTACAAAAAATCAGGTAAATAAGGACCTGAGTCTGGAAACAACGGCGTTCATCAGCTCTTCCTTATCAGACTTGGCGTCGATTGTTAGGTGCGAGTTGAGCCCATTTTGTTTCAACAGGAGGCACACCTGACCATGGCCTGTTGTACATCTGCAGTACAAGGAAGCTGTCTTGTCAACCCTTTCAACAAGAGTCATTCCTCCTTCCCTGCACGCTTTTGTTAGAATCTAAAAAAAAAAAAAAAAAAAAAAAAAAAAAAAAAAAAAAAAAATAGATCAAAAATTTCCCCACTGATGTTTGAAAGTTCATTTAGTAAAAAGTACAGTAATAATTAAAAAATACATAACATTGTTATCCGGTTTTTTACATTACAAAAAAAAAGAGAAAAAAAGGTTAAAATAGATGCTTAAGTCCCCCCTCAGCATTGGGGAAAGTAGCCTTGGAGAATCCCCTTGTGTAACCCTGGAGAGAGAAGAGGAAAGCCAGGGAAAAGAAGCAGCCAAATCAGAACCAAAGCTAGTCACATATAAACGGTTGGTTTTGTATAAGAAAATGTTAACTTGAAAATATTAAAAAGAAAAAAAAAGGAGGAGGGTTGGTTTTGGGTTTAAAAAAAATTAAATTCAAAAATTAAAATACTTTCGAATTATACATCAAAAATTAACACCGTTATTAAAAAAAAAAAAAAAAAAATCCTCAACAGCTAATTAAATTAAATTAAAGTAATAATTGTGGTTAACCAACAAAATGACTAAAAATCTACAAAAGCCTTGTCCAAGTCAAACAAACGAAAATATTTTCTGGTGGCTGCTGCTGCCTATTCTGCATCCATCCAACGCTCTCTTTCCTCACCCTGGAAGTGGAAAAGTCGTCCTTATTGCATCCCCAAATCCCATTCCAAGTATCCCTTCCTGAATAAGGGGAACAGTGGGCAAGTTGAGTCCGGCAGGCTCGAGGTAATAGACTGGGAATAATTATCTTGTTTTGACAGATCAGGATGGGATCCAGAAGGGGCTTTGTGGCTGCCACGGGTAAGGCAATTATTCCACCGTCCAGGGAAATTAGGCATTCTGATTACTCACTAGGATGGCTTCAGGTGGAGTGAGGCAGGATGGATACCTGGAATGTAATTTGGGGCTGCAAGGACAACTTTTCCACTTCCAGGGTGATGAAGAAGGCTCTCTTGAAAAACTGTTGGATGGACACAGAAAGGGCAACAGAAGCCACCAGAAAATATTTTTGTTTGACTTGGACAAGGCTTTTGTAGTTTTTTAGTAATTTTGTTGGTTAACCACAATCATTAATTTAATTTAATTAGCTGTTAAGAGGATGATTATTTTGCTCAACTGTTAAGGTGTTAATAAATAGGAATAGCAATCTGTGCGTTCCTCGATATTGAGGGAGCTTTCGACAATGCATCTCATGCATCAATGGAAGCCTCCCTGGGGAAAAAACACGTAGACCAAACCACATCTAGATGGATTGGAGAACTGCTAAGAATCAGAATAGCTGAAACAAAAGTAGGAACAGACACTATAGAAGTTAGCACAACAAAAGGATGTCCTCAAGGAGGGATATTATCACTTCTTCTATGGAGCCTAACAGTTGATGAACTGCTTGAAACCCTGGACTGCTCAGGAATAAAATGTCAGAGATATGCGGATGACATGGTCCTGACAGCCAGGGGAAAATTCGAGGAAACCCTCTGCGATATAATCCAAGATGGACTGAAAATCACAGAAGAATGGTGTAAAAGCGCAGGATTAGGGATCAATCCAAACAAAACAACTATAGTCACTTTTACACGGAAAAGGAAACTTGATCACATGAGGGAAATAACACTCAATAACACTGTGATAGAAATCAAAAATGAAGTCAAATGTCTGGGCATCACACTAGACAAAACATTAACATTTAAGAAACACATCAGCTCTATCATCACAAAGACGACACGAGCTTTGATGGTGTGCAGAAGAACAGCAGGAAGAAACTGGGGATGCAGACCAGAAACCCTGTTATGGATGTACACCATGATAGTAAGACCTTTACTTACATATGGAGTTATAGCCTGGACTGATAAAGCAGAACAAATAATCAAAAGGAAAGAAATCACAAAAATACAGAGACTTGCATGCATCTGCATAACGGGAGCAATGAGAACATGTCCTACAATTAGCATGGAAAAGATACTAGGATTAATCCACCTACATCACATGGTAGAAAGGACAGCACAGAAAACTATCAACTTTATCAGAGAGAAACCTCCAACAGGAATAAAACAAATGGAAAGACCATCATCACTCATGGCTCCAAGAGATGACATGAACAGGATGTTTGAATTTAACCAAAAATTTCCAACATATCTGGGTACCAAAAAAGAATGGGAAAGAAAGGGAAATAACTCCTTTAAAAATGGCACCATCCTCTGGAACACAGATGGATTTAGAACACAAGAAGGTACGGGGGCAGGAGTATTTGGACCCGGAACCAAATACTCAGAACCCATGGGAAAACACACCAGTATCTTCAAGCTGAAATTCATGCAATTGAAAGATGTACCCAATTCAATCTAAGTAAAGGGTACAAAAACAAGAATATAACTATCATGTCAGATAGCCAAGCAGCCATCAAAGCACTAAGCTCAAGTATCATTAGTTCAAGGATGGTGCTGAACTGCAAAACCAAATTAAACATATTAGGTATGCAGAATAAAGTCAGCATCTGCTGGGTCCCAGTACACATGGGAGTAGAAGGCAACGAGAAAGCGGACACCCTTGCAAGGAAAGGGGCTGCCACACCACTGATAGGGCCCGAACCCTTTTGTGACATAGGAATCCACACTATTAACGAATATTTCAGACCTAAGGACAAAAAGAAAATGAAGGAACAATGGAATTCACTCATTGGACAAACAATCCAAGAATCTTCTAACCAATTTTGGTAAGAAAGAAATCACAGAATGTGTCAAAGGAAGCAGGAACAGACTGGGAATCCTATCAGGACACTACAGATTAAATGGACACTTAAAGAAAATTGGAACAATCCAGATGGCACATGTAGATTCTGCAAGGAGGCAAAAGAGACACCAACACATTTACTAACAAACTGCGAGCAGGAGGAAATGTTTTGGGATGTATAATGTGACCATGGAAGAGCTTCAACCACTGAAACCGGGTCTATTAATCAAGTTTCTTGATGAAACAGGACTCACCGATGAGCTTTAGGCAGAGTACGGGGATACAATAGCTCTTAAAGGGCGCAGTATACCATACCCTGAAAAATTACATCTACATCTAAGGTGTTAATTTTTGATGTATAATTCGAAAGTATTTTAATTTTTGAATTTAATTTTTTTTAAACCCAAAACCAACCCTCCATGTCCAGGGGTTTCAGGGTAAGTTGGGATTATTGAGTTTTGATTTTCCTCTCTTATCCTATGCTGGATAATTTATTAATTTTTCATTTTATTTTCAATTATCCATCTTTGGTTCCTTCTTATTTACTTTGCCCAAACTTTTTTAAATTTATTTTTGCACATTCAACTATTTATTTTTTAAACATTTTTTTTTCTACACTCCTGTCTCAATTAAGCTTCGGGAATATATTTATCCGCAATTTTGGGCTGTAACGATATGATGGCCAAACCTGCTGAAAATCAGAAGAAATCTCATCCAGCTCAAGCGTAGTCGAGTGGTTTAAGCTCCCAGATTGCAGAAGTTCCGCATAGGGTTGGGTAAGGTGTCCTGTCAGGAAAACGCTGACCGGCACACAAATCCAAACATCCAGTTTGTCTTCTAGGCTTTCTTTATTTTTCTGCAAATACGAAAATATTTTAAACTATTTTTACCCTAATAAATAGTAAATCATATTCTGACAAGGACTCTGTGGTTGATTGTACCTGGTGGATATAAGATATAGTGGCTCGAAGCCTGTTATTCGCCGTAATGTCGTTGACTCTGAGAGTCAGCACTGTTTCACCGCTGCAACCCCCTGCTAACGCAAGTCCCAGCTTCCTTCTGACTTCCACCCTTCCCATCTAATCAAATCATTTATGAATTATCAGCGAGACAAAGTTACGATTTTTACAGACTTACCTCATTAATTAATTGTATTTCATCTGTTTGAGAAACATTAATTTCAATGTCTCTCACAAGATCTCGTCCTTTATTGGTAATCACGAGATAAGCCACTGCTTGGCTTTCAAATCCCCCAAGTGGTCGTAAATGATAATCCTAAAATTTGAAATGACATTGATAATAAAATAAGTAGAAGAATAAAATTCAGGTTACTTACAATATTTACAGTCTTATTACTCGCAAGTTTTGTTAAAGTGGGACCACCGCCTAATATTTGAATTTCCTTCGAAGGCGTACTTATGCCGAGGGCTTCCTCATAGCCATCTTTTAAAGGCACTAAATCTACATATGAGTTTGATGGCTCTTCTGTTTGGTTTTCTTTGCGTTTTTTACCTGAGAAACGCAAACATTAACAACATATTAAGAAAAATAAACTGTTAATTACTTTTCTTAGATTTCTTTGATTTTTCTTCTTCTGTATGTTTTGAGTGTTTTTTCTCTTTTTTCTTCTTCTTTGTCACACTCTCATCGGTGGGAGGCAAGACCTCATGATAGTCAGTTAAAAGCATATCGTTGCTAATAACCTACAGAAAATAAATTTAATGGCCAATTCTTAAATATTGCAATAATTTTTACCTTGTGTTTTGATTTTCTCTCTCTGTCTTTCTTGGATTTCTTTGTTGATTTATCACCGAGGGATACGGCCGAAGACATAAGACCTGAGTTTGATTTTGGCGATGGTTTTGTTTCTTCAACATGAAACGGCCTGTTGCAAATAAATCGTATTAATTGAATATATTTAGAAAATATAAATTGTACGTACTCATCTAAATCTATGTCCAGAGCACGATGAGGATCATCGAGCTCTCTTCTGCTGTTGCTAGCCCCTTCTTCACCGGAGTCTTGTGCTCCTTCTGGCATTTCTCCACTTCCCACGTAGACTTCGACCATCTTTTCCGGTTCATCCTCGGCCTTAAGTTCAAACTCATCACCATTTTCAGCGTTTTCTTTGTTTTTTATTTTCTTCTTCTTCTTGTTTTTACCCTTCCTCTCTTCTTTCGATTTCTTCTTAAGGTACTTATCGGAAGTTGCTAGACCAGGGATTATAAGCGGGACTGTCAGATCAATGGGGACGACTGGAATGTTCTTAGTGCTATTCGTGCTGCCTTTCAGGTAGTTAGGGTTCATTGCCTGTTCCTGTTTCCTCGCCTCTCGCATCTGAAATTATTATTATTTTAAATTTCTCATGTCTCGATGTTTTAGAAAAAACATACTCTGTCCAATTCTTCAGTCGTCGGCTCCTGGACATACTCCATTTCAGATGTGTTATCTACACTGAAGATTCCTGTAAGTTTATTTTCAGAATGAGGCTCCTCCTCGTCCTCAGATGACGAAGAACTGGACGGAGGTTCATTAATCCACGCATCTAAATCCAACCTTCGAAAACCACAGATTAGGTTCAATAATGCATTAAAATTTTCCAATTCTGGAATGTTTTTTAAAATTAATTAAGTTTTTAGTCGAGATAAAAAAGTCAACTGCTGCTCTACCACTTGAACTGTCGTGACCTCGATCCACTCGGACACTAACTTCCCATCTCAACCTCACCTTTTGAATTTTCCCTCCTTTTTGCCATTTTTCAAATGGCATTCAAAAGGTGAGGTTGAGATGGGAAGTTAGTTAATTGTAATATATTAATTGGACCACGAAATTAGTGAATTTAATGTTTTTAAACATGAAGTGGATTATACGTACCCTTCAGGTACTTGAACTTTCCGTTGAGCTTTCGGAGCAACAGGGTTCATCTCCCCGACGAAAAGATCGTTGACGGCATGAACGACTTTTGTCTCGCCCTTTTCAAGGCTGGCCTTTACAAACTTTACAAGTTCAAGCGCAGAGCAAGCCCTTTCTTGGACCTCGAGGTCCCCGGAGCTAACGAACTGAGGCAGCTTCTCTATCACCATACTGCATATCTGAACATAAAATTGAGTAAAATATTTTCAAATTTCATTTAAATAAAAAAAAAATAAATAAATAAATAAAATAAACTCACTTCGATTGATTCTGTAGTTTCAACTGTTGATAGTAATTTTGAGAAAACTTTGAGGATATTGTGAACATAAATTGTTTGGATATGAGCCGGTAATCCTGTTATTCTACCGTTAAGAAGCGATTCCAATGTCAATTTTGGATTTTCTAAATGACTGTTCATTAGAAAAAAATAAATGAATAAAAATTATGAAGTTGATAAGCTGAATGGAAATACTCTTATAAAACTCACCAAGAATATTCTCCACAGATCCAAGCTGCTGCGTATAAAACGTCAGCCATTTTTGCAGGAGGTTGCGCCAAAAGGTGGCTGTTTTCTAAAAGGAGGCACATCTGTGACACGGTAAAAGGCCTTATAGCCTGAACCCTGACAGCGACATCGACCATCTGCGAAGCGACTAGCTTTCCATGCTGCGTGCCCTCCATCCTCGTCAACTCAACGAGAACGCTGACATACCACTCGAAATTGGCTATGTACTGATAATTATTCTGCGAGCAAATATCAATTATTTTTGAAAGTAGCTCATCACGATACGTAGTCCCTTCAGCCTTGTCCATATGCACCATAAGCTTCTTTACAATTTCCATAAGGGTCTTTTTAGAAACCTGGAAAAGTTTTATGATGAAATATGACGCAAATTTAAAAAATTTTCTACCTATTACCATCCCATATAAGAGATCCAAAGCTCGAAGCCTTATCGACTCATCTTTGTCATCCAAACAGGCCATTATTAAATCTTTATGAGATTGCACAGATTTTGGATGCGTCCTCAAAATCTTCGACATTGCGAGAAGGCCGAGGTATTTTACTGTAATAATAAAAACAAAAGTGTAAATAATTTCACTATTTTTCGTGGTCCGTTTGACCAATTAATATCATACAATTATTAAGGTTTTAAGTTGAGATAAAAAAGTCAGTGTCACGAGTGGAAAAGGAGGGAAAATTCAAAAGGTGGGGTTGAGATGGGAAGTTAGTGCCAGAGGGGATTGAAGTCACGTTAGCTCAAGTGGTAGATCAGCAGTGTATCTAGCCAAAGGTCGTGGGTTCGAAGCCCGCTCGTGACACTGACTTTTTTATCTCAACTTAAAACCTTAATTAAGTGTAAATAATTTTTTATTTATATCTTTTAACATTACTTACAATTTTGATCGCTGTCTTCAATAAGAATCCTCAGCTTTTGAACACACAGCTAAAAATTTCAATTCGATGTTAAAATCTGTTTTAATTTAACTTTACAAAAGTTATTATTTTTATATTTAATAACATGTTTTATTGTTTATTTTACCTGTATAGATGCGCTATGATTTGGCATTCCTGACGATATGGAGATGAGAACTAAAACAGGATAAAAATTATTGGCATTTCTAATTTTTTATGAGAGAATTCAAGTTGGTGAAATGCTGTACCTGCTATGACAGTATTAATACATTCATACAGTAGTGACATTGCTGAAGTGCTGCATGGAAAAATTATAAAAATAATACAATATTAAAACTAGTTAATAATAAAGAAATAAAGATGTAAAAAAAAACTTAATTTTTTGGTTAATTTGTAAGCCACTACGTGAATTTTCATCAAGCTAAAAATTACGCAGAAGCGAAATACCTATTTAAAACAAGGAATTGTGCAAAAAAATATAAAATAAATTCTTTCAAAAATGCATAAAAACTTGTTTTTCCTGTAATATTATATTTTGAATTTTTCATGGTTGTACAAAATTTTTAAAAAATGTAAGTATATATATAAAATATGCGTGCACTAAGCCTAAAAAAAAATATTCGGTAATTCAAAGGGCTAAAATAAATAGTTTCCAATTAGCGATAAATGCCATAAACCATTTTTGCAAGTGCTTCGTTCTGAGCTCTGTCGAAAGCTTGATCTTAAAGTCTGCTTCTACAAGGCCACATGAAATAAATAAAGTTGCAAACAAATCATGAAGCTATCTGGTGCCATTATTGACGAGGGCGTGGGAGGTTGGAGGTTGATAACGAATCAAAATGACAGGAGACAAATGGAAGTAGAGGATGGTGCTACTTGATTCGGAACTTGATGTTTAAACAAATTCTTTGCAAAAAGTGTTTTATGTCTAAAAACAAAATATGACGCTCATGGTAACAGCTAAAAATAATCAAATAAATAAATAAAGTTTAAATTTAATTGAAAACTTTTTAGTACTTTAACAACAGAATATTATAGATGAATTGTTTCAATAATTGAAACCAATTTCTTTTAAATGGTTAAGGCAAGCACTTAAAAACATAAATGGAAGAGCGTGGAAGTATGTTTCTGGCTTGAGCTTGCTTAGGAAAAAAATAAAAGCTGTGGTAAAATGAATGAGGTACCACAGTGGAAAATTGTTACAAAAATGAATAATTTGGAATTGTAGAAGCAATTGATTTTGAGCTTTAAAAAAATCCCTAATTTCAAAGCCGATTTTTTTTACCCCCAATAAAAAGCTTGAAAATCTGTTTCCGCAGTAAACCGTAATCATAAAGATATCGATTCCTACCTCAAAATTGTATTGGTTTTTCTTTCTTTTTGTTTGTAAAAAATGTTAATGTTACCTGTGGATGAGGTTGGTGAGTGGCTCGATAAGTTTCTTACCGAGTCTGGGCTCGAGAGGAGTCAACGCACCAAACTGGAAAAACGTACAGCACAAGCCATTTACAAGGGAACAGAGGAAAATATTATTAAAAAAAAAATAGAAAAGAAAAAAAAATTAAAAACAAAATCGGAGAACAGAACAAAAGGAAAATAGTGAAGAATTCATTCCAAAAAGAAGAAAAAAAAAGAGTACAACAAAATTCTCTTTAGTCATTCGAGAGCCCCTCCTCGAATTGTAAACCCCACCAATTTACCAATAATTAATAATAAAAATAAATTTAAAAAATCAGACATGGGATGTTTTGACTCCGTCAAATAGGAATTAATATTTTAAGCTCAACTTTGATAAAGGCCAGTCAATAATTTGTTCGCTAACACATTCTACCACACTCACTACTAGGGTTGCCAAGGATGACAAAAATAATATAGTATGAAATTTAAACCTATCCACCGCTTAAACCACTTTAAAGTTAATTAGTGTATATCCATCCATTTTACGATATTTTTTGTTTTGTGTGAAAAATGTTCACTGCAGTTATCTATAATTCTTATTTTGTTCTTTTAGTTGGATGAAAAAAAATTTTCACCAAACATTTAATGTAAAAATCATAATACATTAAATTGTAAATAATTTGGTTTTCTTTAATCATCCTGGTCTGACTATCCTCGCTATTTTGGTCCTGTCATTTTGCCATCTTCGGTATTGGGCCTGAGTGATTTTTGTGAAGACAAGTTTCTTTTATGTGGTTATGAGAGGCAGAGGCAAAGGTGGGTGCTGATGTTTTTTTTTTTTAATTTTATTTATTGTATTAAATTATTTTTTTGTATTGTTCTGGTTGCACTTTGTATTTGTCTGTTTCCTTTTTAATATGTATATAACAGATTAAATAAGGGTATTCACAAACCCAACACTGTAGATGTGAAATATGTGACATCAGTACAGTAAGGACATAGGTAGATCAGAATTATCAATAATGATCCAATTACAGGTCACCCCGCAGAGAAATATCACGTTTTAAGGTTTTTCAAATTTACTGAGCATACTTCTACATAAGAGCAATATTAAACGCTCCTTTGAAACTTTTCCTTTCTGACCAGTTTTAAACTACATAGTATTATCCAGAAGTGCTCTAAAAAATAAGCCCATCTCGTTGCAATTAAAACTATTTTGGGGCTCAAAATAGCTCAATCTTGTTTAAGTTTTTTCATCCAGTTTTGTCAACCTGTCCTTCGTTCCACTAATGATCTACAAGAAATCTTATGCCGTGTTCTAAATTTGTTGAGACAACATGAATGCTTTAAAATCAGTTTTGCTAAATTCTTTACAACCCGTAAAGCCTTTTCTTGAATATACGAGAAGTGGTATTTTACAAGCCCGAGCATGGCAAAACCATTTAAATATGTCAGGGTCTATGGCTGAACTAGATGTTTTAGGAATTTTTTTTAAATTGGTATTTCTGTGGTTGTAAAATTTATCTAAAAATTCAATTTTATTCTTTAGAATTTCACTTAACTGGATGTTTCTATTGGAAAACTTAGCAGCCAAGTCTTGCAAAATTAGTGTTTCATTCAATCAATTAAGGTTTTTAGTTGAGATAAAAAAGTCAGTGTCACGAGCGGGATTTGAACCCACAACCTTCGGCTAAATACGCAGCTGCTCTACCACTTGAGCTATCGATCCACTCGAGCACTAACTTCCCATCTCAACCCCACCTTTTGACTTTTCCCTCCTTTTTGCCATTTTTCAAATGTCGTGTAATGGCCACGGAGAGCTTTAGTGGAGTATACTTTATTTTAATTCATTAAATTCACTATTTTTCATGGTCCGCTTGACCAATTAATATCATTCAATTAAATAAGGTTTTTAGTTGAGATAAAAAAGTCAGTGTCATGAGCAGGTGGTAGAGTAGCAGCGTATCAAGTCGAAGGTCGTGGGTTCGAATCCGGCTCATGACACTGACTTTTTATCTCAACTAAAAACCTTAATTAATTGAATGATATTAATTGGTCAAGCGGACCATGAGCAATAGTGAACTTAGTGTTTCACTTTCACTCACTTTAATTATATTAATTTTTTCTTTAAGCGTCAAACACACTTAAGTACTTAAACATGCTTGCAAACTGGCAGAATCAAAATACAGGATACTGGGAAAATATTGAAATGCAAACAAAACACTTAGAGGAAACGGGATTTCTCAGAAAACATTCATTTTCAGCTGTCTTTTTTGGGAGGGTCCGCATTACAGAAGATTTTAATGTTAAGAAACTAATGAGAAGATGTCCGGGAATCAGAATTTGAAAAAAAAGAAAAAAAAATCAGAAAAAAAACCCCTTTGAGTAATCATTCTACGATTTGTTTCGTAAATGTTGATTCCAAATTGTGGAAAGACGAACAGAAATAAAAAAAGATTTTATGAATACATTCCACATCATCAAATACTTCAAAGATGAAAACTTCATTGAACTATATAACAATAAATTTCATCAATTAAACGAATCCTGTTTGTTATTTGTGCAATTCCTCTTCAAAAATCAACTCTAAAATGACCTAGATGATGCAGATGGAGCTGAAAATGATGATATTTAATATCTAGGTCTTTATCTAAATTTGTATACTAGGTGAGTTTAACATCGCCCCTCCCCTTATATATATTTTTTTATTGGAAGGGTTTCGTGAAAAACCATGACACATGTAAATTTTCTTTTTCTTTCTTTTTCTAGTATTTTTAGTACACAAGAAGTTTTGATCTAACTCTCTAGGATAATGGGACATGTTCAGAAACTTGACTATTTCGAATGTCAAGATATTCATCAGTGCGCATTTTTTGGAAGGTATTTTGAAGCTGAATTCAATGATGAAAGCAGTTTTTAATTTTTATCAAACGTTCTGAAGTCTTTCCAAAAACCTTTTTTACTAATACTGATTTTTAAATAAACAAATCGTATCCAATTTTAACCAATAGTCAATTTATTTATTATTTTAACTGATACTAAAATGTACCAAAACTATTGGCACTGAAAGAAAAACTATACAATTTCCTAAAGTAACATTGACTAACAGAACATTCCAGGTGTTGTTCATTAAAGTGCAATTCAGCCAGTGCTCACTTTTCCCAACAGCAGAATCTCCACTTCGTCTTATTATGTACGATACATTGTTATGATTTGCACGATACATTAAAGAATGTAACAACTAAACTTTTAGAGTGATGGTTAAAAAAGATTTCAAACTTTTTTGAGGTTTTCAAAAGTCTCATGTGCCAATAAATTAATTTTTATTTACATTTATTTGTCAAACATTAATTCCTTTAAGTATATATTTGAGGACCAAAATTGGCTTTATGCTGAAGTCTTTAATGCTTTCATGCGCATGCATCCTGAGTGTCCTATTTTATTTGAAGAAATTGTTATCAAGTTTTACTTTCTGTGCCAAGAGTAATTAATTTATCATCAATTAAAATGATCACTAAAAAAATTTGTGATTGGTTAAAGAATGTTTAAATGGTTGTTCATTAGAGAAACAATATTCATTAATAGTGTTTTTACGAATAACTAGAGAATTATTGCTCCAAATTAAAAATTGTTTGTGCTGTTAAATTCGGCATCAAAAAATGTTTAAAAAATGTACACTGATGAGTTTCTTACAATCTAAAATAGTTCTTATTCATATCCCGTTATTCTGGAGAGTTAGAACAAAACTGTTTGGATTGAAGCTAGATAGAAAATAAAAATTAACATGTTTCGAGATTCCCCCCCCCCAAAAAAAAACGCCCCAATAATAAATAAAAAAATTATATGAGGGGCTTAAGTTAAACTCAGCCTGTATGAAATGATAAAAATGATTTGTTAAGCTGGATACAAATCTTTCCAACATTTTCATTATATTAAGGAAAATCTGATTTAGCTAATATTTTTTCAAACTATTAAATTCACTAATTTCGTGATCCGCTTGCCCAATTAATTTATTACAATTAATTAAGGTTTTTAGTTGAGATAAAAAAGTCAATGGCACAAGCAGGATTCGAACCCACGATCTTCGGCTTGATACACCGCTGGTCTACCACTTGAGCTATCGTGACCTCGATCCACTCGGACACCAACTTCCTATCTCAACCCCAGCTCGTGCCTTTGACTTTTTTTATCTCAACTAAAAACCTTAATTAATTGTAAATTTTTTCAAACTTTAAAATCCTTTTGGTTTTCAATTTTTCTCATTCTTCTAAACTCGTTCAGGTATAATAATATCCGAAGCACACCTGAAGTCCCGCCAGTAGTGAATAGATTACATTTTTCCAATATTACTACAATTTTTTAAATATTATTTTAATAGAGAATATTCCACTAGGTACTCAACATGTTAAATCAAAATCAAAATTATTTTTCAATTTTGTTTTTGAATATTTTATGAAGCATGTAGATGAAATCACAGAAGAAAATGAATTTTTTGGTTTGTTAATATAAAATAAACAAATAATAATACATTAAATTAAAATCAAACAATACCTGACAACCCCAATAAACTACATTATATTTATAAATTAACTATAACTCTTCTATTTATTTATGGAAAAAACTCAGACTACACTTTACCTGAGTAGCTAAATTAAAGACTACATTTCTCAGAAATCATCAAAGTTGTGCAAAAACTGTCAACTTATTATTTGCCTTCAAAAGGTTTGTTGTTACCCTTCTGAGCTTTGTCTACAATGCAAAGTTGCGAGGAGGGGCACAGGCCAAACTGCATTACATTACCTCCTTAGAAACAACAAAACTACCCAAAATTCTTTTGTAATTGTATTCGTATATTGATTAATTTTTGCAAAACAAATCAAAAAAACAATCCTTTCTCCACTATGAAAAATATTTTTAATTTACAGATCAAACATCTTTTTTTGATGTCAATTTAATTATACTTTCTGTCAGTCAGGCCTAAACTGCATTTATTTTTACCTTGATATGAGTTCGATGAGAGGCTGGGTCAACAATCTGCCCACTTTTGGTTCTGTGAGTGTGAGTGACCCGAACTGAAACATAAGACCCGAAGGAACGGACAGAACGCGGACAATGAGAACAGTTTTGATAGAAACGCGGAAAGACAAAAGAAAAACCAAAAAAGACAATGAAAAAACGGAAGATTGTGAAGAGCGAAAAGAAGAGAATATCTCTAAGAGTAGATTTAGACAAAATTAATCAACAAATATTGGTTGAAACAAAAAACTAAGAATGATTATAACAAGATAAACTGAAATTCTTAAAACAAGTTACAATTTATATCTCAATTAAACTAATTTTTGAAAACTACCAATTCTAAAGCACAATTCTATAAAAAGTGACTTACAAGTTTTATGATCTTTATAAGCATCCAGTTGTTAGTAGATGTTGTCATTAATTTGAAGAATACTGGGGCAAGGCTCAGGTAATTTTTGGGATTTTTGCGAGCAAGTTCACAAACCACATTCACAGCAGCGGATTGGACACCTGAAATAAAAATATAAAAAAAAACTAAAACAATATTACACTCCATAACAGTTCTGTTAACCTGGTTTTTTCTTATATATTTCTCAGATTTAATATTAGAAGGGAAACTTTTGTTTAATTAAATTAAATATTTTATTTTTTATTTTTATAAGCAGATTTAATATTAATATTAATTCAATTAATTATTCTTTTTATCTAAGGTCTTGTATGAGATGAAAAAGTTAGTTCACGAGCGGGATTCGAACCCATGACCTTCGGCTAAATATGCCGTCGTTCTAACCAATTGAACTTTGGTGACTTAGACCCACTCGGACACCAACTCCTCATCTCAACCTACAACATTTCGAATTTTCCCTCTTTTTGTCATTTTTCAAAGCTGAAGGTGCTGGGTTCGAATCTTGCTCGTGACACTAATTTTTAACCTCAACCAAACACCTCAGATAAAAAGATAATTAATCTGAATAATTAATATGGTCAATTATGACTATTAAGCAAATATTGATTAATATTAACCCATTCAATTTTTTACCATCCTTATAGCTTGATTGTCCCTGATCATCCCCTCACATGTTTCAACATTTCACCTCAATAACTGAGATAAATATGAAAATAGCATCTGATAAAAACATGAGCAGGTCGACCAGAGAAAATCCACACTCACATCATCAGCTTAAACACTAACCTGAATCAGGATCTTCCAGTTTCTCTTTTAGCCTTGGAAACGCTGGTCTCAGAGCTTCAGGATATCTTAGAAACACTTTGTACATCATAAGTACTGCCTTTTTCCGAAGATAGGGTTTCGTAGACGTCAGCTGTGAAACCGCACAATTATAAATATAATCAATAATTATGTTTATTACCCAAAACTGTAAAACACTCACTAGTGTCATTATATCGTTTGACAGATCCCTCGCAAGGTCGGCGCTTATGAAACACGAGAGCGCAGAAAGTGCTAGTCCTGCATCATATTGATTTTGCGAGTTTAAATCTTTCCTGACCATGTTCGTGGTTAACATTAAGAGCTAAAAAAAACAAAAATGATTTATAAAAAAAATAATTTTTTTTTCTTCGATGTACCTCTGTATCTGCATGAAAACTTTGACTTGATGCAAGATATCCTATCCGTTTATATGTGAACTTAGGTGAGCTCATTACTTCTATCACATTGAACCCTGCCCAGCTCATGTCGTACCCGAGCATTTGAAGCTGAAAAATTAATAACAAATTATTACAAAATTTACTTAAATTTTAATACAAAGGGTCTTACGTAAGTTAATTTTGCGACAGCTGTTGCTTTTACGGCAAGATTTTCTTGCCTTAATTCTTGTTTGATCTCTTCTATACATTGCGCTATATATTTAGCCTAAAATGGAAAAATATTAATTAAAAATCAAAACAAAAAAGTCAGGGTAAGGAGTCACACTTATAGAAATAAATACATTTCGCAAGATCGGCCCTAATTTTAGAGTTTCTATTGTTTTAACAAATCACAACAAATATAGAAAATATCCATACTTTAAGAAAGCTTATTGTTTAAATTTCGGTGAATAAAAACAACAACAATTTTAATTATTAGGTTCCCTTTTGTGTTTCCTTTTGTACCCAGAACTCCAAAAGGTGGGGTTGAGATGGGAGGTTAGTGTCCGAGTGGATCGACATCACGATAGCTCAAGTGGTAGAGTCGTGGCATATCTAGCCGAAGGTCGTGGGTTCAAATCCTGCTCATGACACTGACTTTTTTATTTCAACTAAAGACCTTAATTAATTGAAAGATATTAATTGGTCAAGCGGACCACGAAAACTAGTGAATTTAATAAGTTAAAATGAAGTATACTTCACTAAAGCTCTCCATGGCCATTTCATTTGTCGCTGAGAATCAAGTTGATTACACGACATTTGAAAAATGGCAAAAAGGAGGGAAAAGTTAAAAGGTGTGGTTGAGATTGGAAGTTAGTGTCCGAGCAGATCAAAGTCACGATAGCTCAAGTGGTAGAGTAGCGGCGTATTTAGCTGAAGGTCGTGGGTTCAAATCCCACTCGTGATGCTGACTCTTTTTAATCTCAACTAAAAACCTTAATTAATTGTACCCAGAAGTTTAATAGAGGATGAGGGGATAATGACAGTGCGACACGTAAAATCAATTTTTCTCTTCAAAAAAACAAGTTTTTTTTTACACTTATTACTTATTTTCAAATATACTGCAAAAATGTATGTTAAAAAAAACACACTTGCATTTCAACATATCCCCTATAAGTTATGACTGAATAAATAAAAATCAGTACATATGGACTTTTCAAATTGTAATATTCAATACATACCAGCCTATTTCACCCCCCCCCCCAATTTTAAATTAAACAATAAATCTCTTTCTGGTGTTGGCATTCTTTGTCCAGGTTACCCGCCCCTAACACTCCTGTACCACAGGTCCATTTCATGTACCGTCATCCTAGTGACGGTCCGTTACATTCAGACAGCTGGATTCATTGGATGAACTAATCTAACCTAGCCAGATGAATGTGTCAAGCAACATGATTTATTGCTCGTACAGTGATGTGGTGAAAGTGTGATTTAAGAACAGGAAAATTTTTTATTATGTATATATTAAGTAAGTATGTAAGTATTAATCCTTATTTTTCCTATTTTCCCTCTTTTTGCCATATTTTTTTACCTCAACCAAGACTTTAGATAAAAGTATAAATAATTGAAATAATTAAGTTTTAAGTTATTTAAGCCTTAAGTAAATATGTATATATTAAATATACTTACTTATTATATAACTAAGTATATAAATTTATGGTAGTTATTAGAAAAAGATTACTCATTGTTATGTTGAGAAAGAAAAAAAAAATTGAAAGTTTAATCTGATTGTCAATATTAGTGTTTATATTTGATGGATATGTCTGATCGTAAAAACAAGCAAAATAACAGATTGTCAACGCTTAATCAGCATTATGAATGTTTTACATTTCGGGTACGAATTCTTTTGCTGACTTTGGAATATCTAATCTAATCGCAACTAAAAATACCCCAAAGTTAGAAAGTAAAGAAGACATTGAAAAATAAACTTTGAGACATAATTTATAACAATCAACCCTTTTGAACGCCCCACATTTCATATACTGACTGGCTCAAACATCATGTTTTCAACAACCAGTTTGAAACATGACAAAATACTCCAACTGATACATAGAGAACAAGACAACTTTTGACAATTATCAAAATTAAACTAAATAAGTAACGGTCTGGTGTGATGTAGGTTTCAGAAAACTGTTTTCTTTATTGAGCCAACGTTTTGATCTTTATTGAAATCATCTTCAGGGCCTGGGATTTATAAAACATTGTTTAAATTTAACAAACACATGAGGATGTGGAAAAAAGTGAATTTATACAATGCAAAAATATTTTTTATATTCAATCAAAGTATTTCTACTCACTCAAAGTGTTTGTCTAATCACCACACATAAATAAATAACTTAAACTTATATAAATAAACCATTATGTTTGGTGGTCTATTGACCAAATTACTTCTTTCAATTACCAATGATTTGCTTATCATTTATTATTATTTAATTAATTATTCTTTTTATGTGAGGTCTTCGTTGAAATTGAATCACGACAGATCAAGTGGTAAGAGCAGAGGCATATTAAGCTGAAGGTCGTGGGTTCGAATCCACTCGTGACACCAACTTTTTCATTTCAACCAAGACCTTACATAAAAAGAAAAATTAATTAAATAACAATAAATGATAAGCAAATCATTGGTAATTAATTATATTAAAGCAATGAGCAGCAATTGATTAACAAAAGTTATCAATATATTAAATTGCTAAATTCACTAGTTTCGTGGTCCACTTGACCAATCAACAAAAAATGAAACCAATGACGCTTGACCAATCAATGAAAAAATGGCAACAAAGGAGGGAAAAATCAAAAAGGTGAGGTTAAGATGGGAAGTTGGTGTCCGAGTGGATCGAGGTCACGATAGCTCAAGTGGTAGAGCAGCGGCGTATCAAGCCGAAGATCGTGGGTTCGAACCCCGCTCTTGCCATTGACTTTTTTATCTCAACTGAAAACCTTAATTAATTGTGAGATATTAAATTGCATTGATCCACAAAAATAAAATAAATACAACTTAAAACATCCCTAATTAAAAGAACAATGATTCCAGATTTACCAAGAGATTTTTTTAACCATCAATAAAAAAATTATACACGGTTTAAAATAAATGCAAAAGAAAAGTTGATAAGTTATCTAGATGATACCAAGTTTATTCTGAGGCAGAACAAACTCTACATATAAACTCTTTTCAGCAAGTTACATAACTGAAATAAATTGGAGATGAATAAGTTGAAATCGTATTGAAATCAATATTAAAATAGTGAACTAGTACAAACGAAAATATTAAATAAGTACAACTAGCTAAATATATTTCAGGACAACTTTCATACAATTTGCTTACAATTTTCACAATCAATAAAGGGGAATAAGACAACAGATTGTGTCTCATGTCCTGCAACAGTCCTGACTTTGACAGGTTCATTGAAGCGGACAATATCGACAGGATTTTAACATGAAATTGTAATTGTAAAGTACAATCGTTTCAGATATGCATTTAAATAAACAGTAAAACGCCTAAATGATGAAATCATACCTACTTCAATTAATCAGATATGTTGGACTTTATCTGGATTTCAAACTGGCCTAAAAATTTAGACAGAGTGAATACTGAACAAAATAAACTGAAATCAAGCCTATGGAGGCTAATAAAACCCTACATCTTTAGAGTACGTAGGTTTATCAAACTTGTATATATCTATATATTGCCTTCTGTATATATTGTATATAAGTAGTGAACATTTTGCAAAATGTTTCATTTAAATCATATGGGTATTTTTTGAGAAAATGGGTCACAAACAGTCCTTTCCATATATGGATAAGTTAAGCTTATGGATCCTTTTATTGAATGTAGTTTAAATACTCAAAAGTACTACCAAGTTCCAGCAAGCATTTTATCCTGTTTTATAGGTGTCATCTTGAACAAACTACATTTATAAAATTCCAACAAGATCTGACCCATAACGTTTTTCCGATGGGACTTGACAACTTTAGTTTACCACCGATTATTAGTTAAAGCTCCAATATTCTTTTCTTATAAATGTTTGATACGAGGAAGAACTGGTTGAGATGTTGAGAGTTAATCCAAGATGACACCTACCAAACAAAGAAGATAAAAAATTATAAAAAGCTTATTGGGACTCAGGGGTGCTTTTGTGTAATTATTTTTAACTAGTCATTAAAATTTATTATGAAAAAAATTTAATAACAAATTGAAAAATTTAAAGTATAGATACAAAAATAAGCAAGGCATTTTGAGACAGCAAAGTTAATTTTTTGATGGAACAAAATTAAAACTAAAATTACGTGTTTTTGTAAAATTTTAAATTGTGGGCCCAAAATTAAATTATTTTCAAAATCGTTCGTAGTCTTAATATTGTGACCTAAAGAATTAAGTTTGCTCACAACTTCAGTTTTTCAATAGGGGGTTTAATTATTTTGCCTATTTTATAAAATTTGTTATACGGCCGACTGTGCGGTGTCTGTCCGAGGCATTGAATGTTGGTCTGTCTTGGGTTGGATTGTGGGGTGCCTCCTTATTCTCGGAGATCAAAGTGTTGCCTTTTTTAAGCTTGAAGGAGTCCACGGTGACCAGAGACAGACTGCTCCTCGAAAAAGCCCTGCTTGTAATGCTTAAAAAATTTGTCGTGCGAGATATGCAGGTTCAGTTCTTTCCCTCACTGAGATAGCCTCTGTGGTGGTCTATTAGACCGCTAGAAGCTGAAGGACATGGGTTCGAATCCTGCTCATGACACTAATTTTTCATATCAACCAAAAACCTTTGATAAAATTAATAATTCAATAAAGTTTATTAAAAACTTATTCAGTAAAGTTATTATTTTGTTTCATTACAAAAACAGACAGAACATTCCGGCAGACATGTACTGAAGAACTCCCAGAAACAATAGTAGCTAGCTTACTTTCAGTAATCAATTTATCATTTTTCCACAATAAAGACCCAATATTCATTAAAATCTATTAACTTGTAGTCCTGATATCTTATTAAAACAAGAGATATAATTAATTGAACAAAAGAGACAATGAATTTGCATTAACAACTTTAACATGTCTGCTGGACAGACAACAAATGGAAAATAACCACATAAATCAATACTAAACTTGCATTTCTCTCACACATTAAATTGGTATGGAGAACCCAACATTGATTTTTTTTTATGTCAAAACAAAAAAATAGTTTTTATAAAGTATTTTGGCTTGGTTCAATATTGTTTTTACACTTTTTAATACCTAGCTTTAAGCGAGATAATATATTCCCACTTAAAAAAGCAATGATTCCAGGTGTTTCACCAGATCATTCATAAATTAATTTAATTATGTTTTTAATTTAATTAAATTGTTTATACTAGGAAAATAATTAATTTTAAGCTTTTTGGGCCACATGGGGTAAAAATATAGAGTAGCAATTTGTCGAAAAAGGGCTTGGATTTGGGGTCATTCATGCTACTATACAGGGTGTCTGAATTTCAGGTGTTTCTACTCACCAAATGCAACAAAAAGGTTCCTATAAACCCCTATCCAAATCTCTATGGTAAAAAAGTAATTTCAGGTTTTTATTTATTTATTTTTTTTACTCCCGACTTAGGTCCACTAAATTGCTTATAAATTTCAAAATTACTGACTAGAAAACTATGGTTTGTGCCATCTAAAAGCATGCTATTATGTGGGTATGAAATACTTGGTTCAAAATTTATAACTGCATCTTAAATTGTATTTTTCCAATCAATATGTTTTTCTAATTTGCCCTGAAGATGACCCGAATAAAGGTCGAAACATCAACAAAAAAATGAAAAAGGTTTTTTCTAAACTACCTCATTCTTGACAGCTCCTCACGACTTCAACAAATTATGAAACAACAGGTAACTTAAAAAAAAACAAAAATGCAAAATTTTTGGACTTTGCAGAAACGCAATCCAAAAGGGTGGGTATACGCTGGAAGCTAATTGAATGGGGAACTCTTGAGGGAATATGCAAAGCTCTAAGAGTTAGTCGTAATTGACAGTTTCCAATCCGACATTTAAAAAAAAAATGCAATGTTTTTGTTTTTCTGAATTTTTCGTGCAGAACTTTTTCATAAATTCTGTAATGTAAATAAGTTTTCTTACAGAAAAATTTAACTTTCTTTCAGGTGGCACAAACCCTGATTATTCTAGTCAGTGATTGTGGAATTTATAAACAATTGGACCTAAGTCTAAAAATGAAAAAAAAAAAATTACTTCATTACCGCTGAGATTTGGACAGGGGTTTGCAGGAACTTTTTTTGTTACATATGGTGAGTAGAAACACCTGAAATTTTCGACACTTATCACCTGTATATTTTTACCCAACCCAGATCGCCCAAAAAGCTTAAAATCAATTATTTCCCTAGTTTAAACAATTTAATTTTAATTAAAAACATGATTAAATTAATTCATGAACGATCTGGTGAAACATCAGGAACCTTTGCTTTTATAAGTGGGAAAAAATTATCTCTTTTTAAAACTAATTATGAACAAGAGTTTAAAAACAATATTGAACCATGCCAAAATATTCTATAAAAACTTTTTTTGGGAGTTTGACATAAAAAAAATCAATGCTGGGTTCTCCGAGCAAGTTTAGTATTGATTTATGTGGTTGTTTTCCATCTGTTGGCCAGCAGACATGTTAAAGATATGCAAATTTTCTTCGTCTCTTTTGTCCAATTAATTGTATCTTTTGTTTTAATAAAATAACAGGAGTACAAGTTAAAAGATTTTTTAATGAAAAATGAGTCTTTATTGTGGACAAATGATAACATATTGATTACACTACGCAAGACACTACTTTTTCTGTGAGTTCTTTAAGGTCTACCGGAAAGTTCTGTCCGTTTTTAGAATAAAACCAAACAATATATATTTTTTTTCATACGTTGAATAAACTTTATTGAATGGTTATTATTTTTATCTTAGGTTTTTGGTTGAGATGAAAAATTAGTGTCACAAATGGGATTTGAACCCACAACCTTCGGCTCAATACACCAGTGCTGTAACCAATCATGACTTCTTGAAGGGTAACTTTTGTTTATTATTTAAATTAAATATTTTATTTTTATAGGCAGATTTAACATTAATATTAATTCAATTGATTATTCTTTTTATCTAAGGTCTTGCGTGATATGAAAAAGTTAGTTCACGAGTGTGATTCGAACCCACAACCTTCGGTTCAACACACCACTGTTGTAACCAATCATGACTTTGATCTACTCGGACACCAATTCCTCATCTCACCCTTCAACCTTTCTAATTGCTCTTTTTTGCTATTTTTCAATGCTGAATATCGGGTTAACTACCTAATATAAAAAAAACTATTTTAAATTCTTTTTCATACCTAGCTTTAAGAGAGATAACATTCCCACTTAAAAAACAACGGTTCCAGGTGTTTCACCAGATCTTTCATAAATTAGTTGTCGTGTTTTTAATTAAAATGGAATTGTTTATACTAGGAGAATAATTGATTTTTAAGATTTTTGAGCAATCTGGGGTAGAAATATGGAGTAGCAATCTGTTGTAAAAGGGCCTGGATTCGGGGTCATTCACGCTGTTTTATATTTCGGTGTCCGTCACTCTCCGACTCACCTCGTTGTCTTTGTTGTTCCGGATCCCGCGGACCAGATCGGTCAGGTTCTTGTCGAACATCCTTTCCAGGTTCCCTTTGACTTTTTTCAAAGCCATTTTGCCGAGTGACGCCCTGCGAGGATGCTACGCGCCCCAGGCGAAGGCGAGCGGAAGATAATCGCGACGAAAACCTTGGACTGTGGACGCCGCCAGGCCAGGATCAGATTTAGGACATCCCGCAGCAGATGCCGTCGTAACCTGGCAGATTTCCTCGACGTCGACCAATTCTACTAATCCGTCTGATAAAGGTACAAAATCGATTCACTACCGTTCGAACTCGATTCGACAAACTATTCCACTATAACTGTACAAAAAAACAACACATTTACCTAATCAACATTGATTTTCTTAAGTCAAAAACCGGCGAAAATCAATCAGAAGAAGATCCTTTAAATATTTAACCTCTATTATTTTACAACATAAAAGCTTCATCAACATCGTCTATGCTGTCCAAAAGGTTGCAAAAAGGTTTAGTTTTTGAGGTTTTCAAAACATGGGCGACACTTTGAATGTCATAGTTGAATTTGGGTAAGTGTAAATAATTTTTTTATAAGTTAATTTTAAAAAAATAGTTTAACTTTGTATCTACGCTGACTTTTTTAAATTTTTTCAGAGGAGGAGCCGAGCTGCTTTTCAACAAAGTGAAAAGGCACGACCTAGAATTGCCAAACAAAGACTGTGAGTGTAAGTATTCTATACACTCAAAAACAAAAACCGGACACTTGTATTTATTAGTTTATTTTCTATAATAACTATGTGAAAAGATTAATAACTTGTTTACGTGTATAATGTTACTAATCCTTTTATACTCATTAGATTATAAATATATTTCAATTAATTATTTTTTTTATCTAGCAACTTGATTGAGTTGAAAAAGTTAGTGTCACGAGCGGGATTCGGACCCATGTCCTTTGGTTAAATATAACGCTGCTCTAATCGAGCTATCATGACTTTGATCCGCTCGGACACCCTACTCCTAATCTCAACCTACAACCTTTCGAATTTCGAAACCGAAGATCGTGGGTTCGAATCCCGCTCGCAACACTAACCTCTTCATCTCAATCAAGATCTTAAATAAAAGGAATAATTGATTGAAATAATTAATATGGTAAATTAGACTATTAAAAATAAATGGATTAATATCTAATAAGTAAAGAAGTTCACTATCAGTTCCCCACGGCCACTTCATAAGTCGCTGAGAATCGAATTTGAAAAATGGCAAAAAAAAAGGGAAAATTTGAAAGGTCATAGGTTGTGATAGGGAGTTGGTGTCCAAAGGGATCAAAGTCTCGATAGCTCAAGTGGTTAGAGCAGAGGTGTGTTGAGCTGAAGGTCGTGGGTTTGAATCTCCCCCGACACTAACTTTTTCATCTCAATCAAGACCTTACATACAAAGAATAATTAATTGAAATCATTTGTATGATCAATTATGACCGGTAATCATATTATATTTAAATTTTAATCGATTTTTAGTGGCCTAATTGACCAAATTACTTATTTCAATTAATTATTCATTTTATGTAATATATTGGTTGAGAAGAAAAAAGTTAGTGCCACGAGTGGGATTCAAACACATGATCTTCAGCTCAATACGCCGCTGCTCTACCACTTGAGCTTTCGTGACTTTGAACCCTTCGGATACCAACTACTCATCTCAACCTCTACCTAAACCTTTTCGATTTCGTAGCTGAAGGTCGTGGGGTCGAATCCCCTTCATGACACTAACTTTTTCATCTCAATCAAGACCTTAAATGCAAAGAATAATTAATTGAAATAATTTATATGGACAATTATGACCAGTAAACACATATGGATTAATAATATAAATAAATTTTAATCAATTTATGTTTATTGGTCTAATTGACCATGTAAATTATGTCAATTAATTATTCTTTTTATGCAAGCTCTTGGTTGTCGCTCGTGACACTAACTTTTTCATCTTGATCAAGTGCTTACATAAAAAGAATAATTAATTGAAATAATTTATATGGTAATTATTACTGGTAAACCAGATTAATATTATACATACATTTTAATTGGTTTATGTTTAGTGGCCTAATTGACCAATTACTTATTTAAATTAATTATCCATTTTATCTAATATATTGGTTGAGATGAAAAAATTTCATTTCACGAGCAGGATTCGAACCCATGATCTTCGGCTCAATATCCAACTGCTCTAACACTTGAGCTATTGTGACTTTGAACCCCTCAGACAGCAACTACTGATCTCAACCTACAACCTTTTGAATTTCGAAGCTGAAGGTCATGGGGTCGAATCCCCCTCCTGACACTAACTTTTTCATCTCGATCAAGACCTTACATAAAAAGAATAATTAATTGAAATAATTTATATGGACAATTATGACTGGTAAACATATATGGATTAATATTATACATAAATTTTAATCGATTTATGTTTAGTGACCTAATTGACCAAATTACTTATTTCAATTAATTATTCATTTTATGTAACATATTGGTTGAGTTGAAAAAAGTTAGTGCCACAAGCGGGATTCGAACACACAATCTTTGGCTCAATGCACAACTGCTCCTCATATATACCTACAACCTTTTGAAGGTTGTGGATTTGAATCCCTCTCGTTACACTAACTTTTTCATCTCAACTAAGACCTTACATAAAAAGAATAATTGAGTATAAATTAAGAAAATCAATTCAATTTCATCCATTCCAGAACCAATGTCTAGTACGTTTTTTTTATTTCTTTGAATTTGTATTCTTTGATGGTTTTAAGTTGAAAAGATCTTACCTGGGCTGTTGCTTTGGACGATGTCGGACATAGCATCTGTCACATAAGCCTGATAGTGCCATGCTATAGCTTCCATGATGATCTATAGTAGTTTAGGGCCACTGGAAGCCTCAATTGATGTAGTGATTGACCATGTTGTACGACAGCTAGAGACAATATTTTTAATGCTTTTATCATCATTTAATGATTTCCTTGGCTGCAGACCATCTGTACTGAACTTGAACAAAATTGAACTACGGGGTCTGTTAGCACTCTTTACATATGAGTGCTGGTTCGGCTCATGGCAGTCAAATGACTGGGACCATGTGGAGAAGTGGTGGAGAATGTTTTGGATCATGTGATGTGCTTTAGTCACAGACTTTTCAAAGACAGTCAGTAATGGTAGGGGGTGGGATGAACTTCCACATCTATACCGAACTGTTGTATAAAACCTATCTTTGACTGAACCAAGGTACATTGAGGAGTTCTTCTGGAAGCAGTGGTCTCTCCCATTCGCACCTTTTATTGGAGATAACTTTGAACTAATGCAGCTCAAGTTGTCACCCATTGCTTGGAAGATGAAGGGATTACCACAATAAATTCACCAATGGGTTGTTGTGACATAAATCCTACAGAACACTTACGGGGCATGATAACAGGTGAGTTAGAAAAAACAAAAAATGAACGAATATTCAGGGAGTTTCTTTGCTGTTCTTTTTATGTCCAGTGTGTCCTGATCCTTGAAGCAATTTATTTATTTGACACTGGGCCATTGATGAGTTCGTTATCACTCGTGTGTTTTGATGTTACTCAAATTCATGACACTGATCCAATGCTGATTTAAAATGTGATGACCAACAGCCACCATCCTCTTTAAATAATCTAGATCCTTAAACAAGCAAAACAAGGAAACAAAGGACAATCAGACTGAAAAAAAACGGTTTGGGTAGTTAGCATCATGATCAAAGGTGGGAAAGTTGTCTGAATCTTTGAAAGCAATGGGCATAATGAGAGATCTTGGTTCTGATGACTGCTACAGCAGTTATTCATGTAGTCTGAATTGCCGTGACTAAACATGTTAAGATCTGGGGTCCCTTCGTCCTTTGATATTTTCTGTAATTTCATTTTATCAAATCTCACATGGAGACCCTTGGGTCCTTCGCATCCAGTGAGTAATCGTCATTCTCACTTTGTCTTCTTTCTAAAATGATAGTCGATTGCATTGGTGTACCACAAAACGACGCAGGTACTAAAAGCAATGTGGCAGCTCGTTTTCTTACAAGCTTTTTCAGTTTCCTTTAATCCCAAATGTCCTAGATTCAGTTAACAGACTTTAATGGAATAATTGACAAATTTATGTTTTTCTTATCTAAAGAATTTTAAAAAAATTCTCTAAAAAATTAACATAATTGCCAGCCATATTGCAGTATGTTCATAACAAATAAGTACTTTTTTCATTTTGATATTATGAATTGGTGTTAAAAAAAACATGTTTTACATTTAGTGATTATTTATTAATTTAGTGCTAAAGTATTCATGGTGTTTGCCATTTGAATTATGCTCCAAACACATGCATAAATTGCATCTTGTTGATCTCATAAATATTCAGTGCCTCCTGTAATTAGCAGTGTGTTTTAATCGAGACGGTGAGTTTGTTTTTTCCCTCTGGCTTTTCTTAATTTTCAAAATTAACATCCCTCTGTTTATAAAGCATTATTAATTTCTAGTAATTACTGAGGTGGATAGGCCCTGTATCTGAGATTGTTTTCTTTTCGTGAAGGATCATTCTGATTAAAGGGATTTAAAATCTTTTGTCCTATTCCTTGTTTATATTGCCTAACTTCTAGGTTCATACAATAGATTAAATCTTCTAGCTCTCATAAATATTCTTTACCTGTACTAATTTCTTTGCCCTGGTGTTTTCTGTACTTCAGGTTGAATTATCTGAATTCGGGACTTTTCAGTGATGAGTCGCTGTACCAACCCCACCATCTCAGGCCCTGTAATTAACAAGTTAATAAAAATTGATATCCACGATTATTTGCCCTTATCTCTAGTCCGAATTTTCAAAATTTGCATGACTCATACATAATACATAATTAATATCTAGTGTTATATGGAGGATTTATCATGTTTTCACCCATAGCTTTTTACAATTTAACATTTTCAATTTATTATGTAACTTTACAATCTTTGTTTTTTATTACATTTATTTGATATTTACAAAAAAAAAAAATTGTATTAAGTAAATAAGTTCATATCTGTGTTTTTTACTGTCTTTGATAGTCAGACGCTTTTCATTATCTTGCCAATATCAGTAATCTTGTTCTTTGCTTTTGGTTGAACCTAATTATTTAACAATTAATTAAGGTTTTTAGTTGAGATAAAAAAGTCAATGGCACGAGCGGGATTCGAACCCACGATCTTCAGCTAGATACGCCGCTGCTCTACCACTTGAGCTATCGTGACCAAAAAAAGAAAAAAAAATTAAATTGAATTGAAAAATGGCAAAAAGGAGGGAAAATTCAAAAGGTGGGGTTGAGATGGGAAGTTAGTGTCCGAGTGGTTCGAAGTCACGATAGCTCAAGTGGTAGAGCAACGGCGTGTCTAGCCGAAGGTCGTGGGTTTGAATCCCGCTCGTGCCATTGACTTTTTTATCTCAACTAAAAACCTTAATTAATTGGTCAAGCGGACCACGAAATTAGTGAATTTAACTAATTATTTAAATTTCTGTTTTGTTTCACTTTTCCAGGGACTTTAGGAACATTCTTGTATTGGCTCAAAGACAATTTATTGACCGAAAGGCCGGAATTGTTTATGCAAGAGAACACTGTGTAAGTAATTTTCATTTCATTTCTATCATTAAAAAAGTTTAGCTTTTAATAAAAAATTACATATGAGAAATAAAATTATTGTCTTTTATAATATAGTTCAGCTAATAAGTTTTTCAATGTTTTTTCTTTTTTTGGTTCTGAATATCTTTTAGCAGATTATTGCACTCTTTACACTGTTAGTGGCCTAATAGACTGTTCCAAAACAAAGTGGCGCACTTTGAAATTTTGACATTTTCTAAGAACATGGATTTTCAGTAATATTTTTAAATGATGACATTTCTTAAAAGATTTGGTTAGTGTGAAAATAAAGCTACTTCTTAAAAAAAATAAAAAAATTGATTAAAAAATCACTTTTGTATTCGAACTTAAAACGTTATAAAACAAACCTTTAAAGGGTTATTATGCACTCTAATCTTCTCGGCAGCCTTTGACCTCTTCTTGAGAAATTTCATCCCAATTGTCAACTAATGTAACTTTAAGCTCAGCTAAGGTTGTAGTAGGGTTATTTCTTCATTTCACCCCGCATCCAAGCTCATCCATAAAGTGCTTAATGGGGTCTGAATGAGCTACGGTGTGGCCACCTTAGATTGTGAATATTGACATCATGAAAGTCCTGCATAGCATAGGTGTGTTGCTTTATCTTGGATGAACAAGGATTTCTCACCAATAACAGGGGAAAATAAGACCACATATTCCTTAAGATTGTCTGTTACATAGATTTCTGTATTATGTGACAGCCTATTAAAAATGTTTAATTCCGTTTTTGCTTCCAAAGAAATTGCGTCCCACATTATATCTAAACCACCTTCAGACAGCACTCTTCACCTGTTCGATATACTCAAAAATTCCATCTGTTGAATGGAAAAAAACTGGGACTTGCATGAAAATATTAAATTATTTTATTTGCCCTCTATTCATATTATTATGCTGGCACTCATTGCGAGGGATTAAGGGACAAGGTGGCTCGAGGCTATCATCGATTAAGGCGAGTTCTCAGGATGGAAGTGTGCAGAGAGAGCTCGACAAGTATGTTTAGGATGGATCGAGAGATTGGTGTGAAACTTTTGTAATTGGAGATCAGTTCGTAGACAAAAGGAATGTGGAGGTCATGGATATTGAGGTTAATGACATAATAAGTAGCTTAGACAATTTGTGTCCAACTTTTGATTGGAAAGACTGGATGCGCTGGAAGTTAGTTGGCTCGATAGAACCCCACAGTTCCGATCGCAGTAAAGCCTTGTATTAGGTTTTGACTGTCAAGACTAATTTCGGTCTTAGAAGTCTTCATTATTGTCCAAGTATTTTGTTAAGTTTTGTCTCTTAAGTCTTGTGTGGGGATTCTACGTCAATGTGCTGTCTAGGTATAGTGCCAAGTATTTGACTTTGAAAGTAAGAATCTCTTTGTTTTTGATGCACAGTGGAGGTGTTTTTTTTTTTTTCAATTTGAACATTGAGTACATTTTTCTGCATTCAGTCTTGTCTTCCACTTTTTACAGCAGTCTTCAATGTTCAAGGTGTTCTTAGATGTTGGACGTAGCTTAGATAGGGTTCGAAAATTGCGGTATTGGCCGCATATGCAGCGTATAAATGATATGAAGCTCGATAAACTAGAAAACGTCCTTTAATGAATGGAGAGAAATCTGAGGCTCATCTGTAAACATAACATTCTTCCATTTTCTGTCCAACATGGATGTTCTCTTGCAAACTAAGCAGTCCCCACGATGGTCTCTGGCTTGACCTGTTGCTGGCCTTCTGGGTTGCAGACTCATTTCTGCAAGTCTCCTTCTTACTGTTTCAGCATTAATGGACGCATCTCGCATGGTTCGAAGTCTTTAAGAACGTGTCAAAAGCAGTGGAAAAGTGAACCTGAAACTTCATCCATCCTCAATGAGTGCAGTGATAGCACGGTCTACTTGCTCTCTTGTTTTGAACGTTTTCGTTCTTGTTCTATTTCATACCACCAACACAGTAGTGAATAAATTCCTTTTTAAAGGATTAACTCCCTTGTTGATGATATTTTTTTTTATTAACTTTTAATTGACTTTTTGTTATTTGATTCATATTAGAAATTGACAGGATTATGTCAAATACAAAATACTGATACTGAACATACTTTCAGTGTTTATACTGACTCCTATATCATTGTTCTCATATGAACATTCTATTTCTTTTTATTTCCCCTAGGAGACCAGGGATATTGGTTATGGTAAATGACACAGACTGGGAGTTACTTGTAAGTATAAAAGATTTTTACATTAGTCTAACAAACAAATATTATTAAAAAAAATACCCATCCATTATAATTATTATTATGTTTATCATACTCATATCATACTACTATTTTATTTGGTCGATTTTTGTAGTTGTATGTTCTCTAAAATCTGGGGTGCCCCAAGGCTCTAGCATCTCTCCTATCCTTTTTTCCATTTATATCAATGATCTGCCCGACTCCATCCAGTTCTGTAACTATCACCTATATGCTGATGACTCCCAAATATACATATCCTTCCACCCTTCCGATCTTCACTCGGTCATTCTCAAGATCCAAAAAGACCTAAACTCCATCAACAAGGGGCACATAAAAATTCCCTAGTCCTCAATCCGTCCAAATCCACCGCCATAATTATCGGGTCCAGGCAACTCCTCAATTCCCTCCCCAGCATCCCACCTCTCATGCTAAATAATTATTCCATCCCCTTCTGCTCTTCGGTTAAAAACCTAGGAGTAGTCTTTGACCAAAACCTTTCCTGGCATTCTAACATTTCCCAAATTTCCCACCATTCCATTGCCTCCCTCAGTCTGTTTCATCGGTCCTGGCTTCTCTTACCTTTCTCCACCCGCAAACTCCTTGAATCTTCCCTTATACCTCCCTTCTTCGATTATAGCTGTTTGGCATATAGTGGTCTCTCGGAGGGGAGAAAGTGCGATTGAAGCGTATTATGAATTGTTGCGTAAGATTTGTGTACGGCACCCCACGGGGATCCCGGGTGTCGGGGTTGTATTCCCAACTTTCCTGGCTATTCCCCTCCTTCCATGCACAGTATTTCCTAGGTTGCTTTCTTTTCCAGTCCATCCACACTCGTCGTCCTCCTTACATCATCCAATCCCTCCAATTCAACTCCTCACATCTCGTAAGACCCACTCATCCCCAATCGACCTTATCCTTCCGCAACATACAACCCATACCTTCGAAAGATCCTTTCTGATCCGAGCCCCTAAACTCTGGAACTCCCTTCCCCTTTCTATTCGTCAAGCTGCCTCCTTTAAATCCCACCTATATAATCACCTCCTCTCCCTCCAAGCAGAGACCTCACGTTAACATTTGTTATTTTTGCTTAATATTATCGTAATTTTCTCTTCTGGCCTGCCTTACTGGTATACATTGTGCCAAGATTTCTATCTTTTTTTTTTTTTACTTTTAACTTCATAGAAGGAACTTCCTTTATTTATTTCATGTAAATTATTCTTAGGGGACACCAGTCCCAGAATAAAGTTATTTTTCTTCTTCTTCTTATGTTCTTTAAACTGGAAATTACTCTCTTAAAAGGAAAAAAACCTCTTTAATATTAACTTTGTAAATGTTTGATTATGTGCTATGATAGCAACACATCTTACACAACATGGGCATATACAACGATGATCCCATCTGCAGATTATGTAATGAGGAGGCAGAAACAGCCACCATATCATCTTCGATTGCAAAGCAACAGCTCAATGGAGATTTAACCTAACTTAGGGAAAAATGAGAATGAAATTGTAGCAGCGACAGTCAATCAAGGATTGACCTATTGCACTTAACTAAGGAACCAGGTAGCCAGAAGGCTGCAGTTCCGGGGGAGCACAAATCCTGCTTCCTAGCATCCTTATTACCATACCATGATAGGAACAAAAATTAACCTATTATATGGTTATGTAAAATGGTAATGTAAAATAATTAATAAACAACAGCTCAAAATAAGCAGGTCTGCAGTATATGAATAATCTTTAAAGTAGGTAAAACCAAATAATCTTTATTAAATTAAGAATTTGCATGAAGACTTCAAACTGAGTTGAGTCCACCTTGTGTCACCAGACCACCTCAAAGTAACAACTGAACAGTTTCTCATCTTGACTTAATCTGCATTGCTTTTCATTAAACACTATAAATCGACTAGATAAGTCTTATTGTTTACTTGTGTTCCACTTTCTCTCTCTCACTCTCTCTTTCTTTCTTTTTTCTTTCTTTCTTTTTTCTTCTCCTCTCTTTTCTTTCTATCTTGTCTTCTCTTCTCTACTCTGTTTAAGACTGGCATCGTGGCCATGTGCTATTTAACATTACCCATTAGTTAATTCTGTTCCTCCTTCATTTTCTGTAATTCTGGTCTGCCTGGTCTCGCTTTTTTGGCATGACAACATGAAAAACTCACTCACATACTCACTTTACATGCATTTGTGTAATAATACATGAACATAATTTTTCTTTCTTTCTCTTTTTCTCTCTCTTCCTTTCTCTCTATCAACCTCCTCATCCTCCAATTAAATTTATATTATCCGTTATAACTTTATACTCACACTCGCTGTTTTTTCTTCTTTCTCTAACAATTGATTGCTACCAATTTGAAAAAAAAAAAAAAATATTATGTTCCTTGCAGGTAATTTTGTCCAGAAACTGTTTTTTCCATTTATATATTTTGAATCAAATTTTTTTCCCTTCCTCTTTCATGTTAACTATGAAATTATAGTTAAATTTTAACTTATTTCAGTTGAAACTATTAAAACAGTAGTGTTTTATGATTTGATGCGACAGAATAACATACTCGCAACAACATATTCACTGTGTGGTTATTAGTTTTCTCGCTCTCTCGCTCTCTCTCTCTCTCTCTCGCTCATTCTCGCTCTCTCTCTCTCACTCTCTCTCGCTCGCCCTCTCTCTCTCCATCTCTCTCTCTCTCCATCTCTCTCCCTCTCCATCTCTCTCCTCCCTACCTCCCTCTCACTCCCTCTCCTTCTCCCCTTCTCCCTCCCCCATTCTCTCTCACACTCTCTCTCTCTCTTCTCTCTCTCTCTCCATCTCTCTCCCCCCTACCTCCCTCTCCTTCTCCCCTTCTCCCTCCCCCATTCTCTCTCACACTCTCTCTCTCTCCATCTCTCTCCCCCCTACCTCCCTCTCCTTCTCCCCTTCTCCCTCCCCCATTCTCTCTCACACTCTCTCTCTCCTCCTCTCTCTCTCTCTCTCTCTCTCTCTCTCCCTCCCTCTCTCTCTCTCTCTCTCTCTCTCCTCTCTCTCTCCTCTCTCTCTCTCTCCTCTCTCCTGCTGTTTCACATCTTGCAATTATGTTAAAATGTGGCAGTTACTTACTCCCCTGAATGTTGTAAATAGTTGTAAATACATTTCCACTTTTTATTATTGTGTTTTATGTTAGCTAATATTATGGCAGTAATTAAATGTTTGTTTGTTCTTATTCACCACACATACAAAAGACGCTTGAAATCTTGAAAGTTTAACGACAAGTTCAAAATGTCATGGATGGATTACAAAAAAAAGACAATAAATCTAGGCAAAACGACTCGTAAAAGGTGCTAAAAATTTCATATAAAGGAAAACATTTCGTGGATTTTTAACTGCTCTGTTATTATTCCAAACATCCATGACTGGCTGTTGTGAAAATAATAAACTGTGAGCCGTAAAATATAAGTTGTGAAGTCTTACTTCCCTAATTTTTTCTCTCTCTACTCTCTTACTTCAATTATAAAAATATATTAATCCATATGTTTTAGTTGATCCTAGTTAACCAAATTAATGATTTAATTAATTAAGGTTTTTAGTTGAGATGAAAAAAAGTTAATGGCACGAGAGGGATTCGAACCCACGACCTTCGGCTAGATACGCCGCTACTCTACCACCTGAGCTATCGTACTTCGATCCACTCGGACACTAACTTCCCATCCCAACCCCACCTTTAGATTTTTCCCTCCTTTTGCCATATTTCAAGGTCAGGTGGTAGAGCAGCGACGTACCTTTCCGAAGGTCGTGGGTTCGAATCCCTCTCGTGCCATTAACTTTTTTTCATCTCAACTAAAAACCTTAATTAATTGGTCAAGCGGACCACGAAAGTAGTGAATTAATGATTTAAGTTGATTTATAATTTTTTATATAAATTGTGGTTGAGATGAAAATTTAGTGTCACGAGCGGGACTCGAACCCACGACCTTCGACTCTATACTCTGAGTCCCACTCTTGACACTAATTTTTCATCTCAATTACACATTACATAAAAATTATAAATCAATATATAAATATTTATGTATTTTTTCATCTGACCGTTTTTATCAAAGGTCTCTGAAAATAATTAAACTTGCTTATGTGATAGGGTATTTTTTCTTTATTTAAATATTTATTTAAAAAAAGTCATAATGACGTTACGTGTAATTAAAAAAGAAAAATTACCTTAGTTTACCTTTTATTTGTGTTTGTTCTCCGAGTTGTAATTTTTCCTTGCGGACGTACAAAAATAAAATAATTAGGAGATAAAAGAGAAATATTCAATGAATGGAAGCTAAGCCGGACGGGATCTAACCCGGCACGGATTAAAAGGGTTGACTTGACGAAGTTAATATTGTTCAATTAAGAGAAGGGATGAAGCCTTAACGGTGGCCAATTAAACACTGATCCCTTCCTCTGAGGATTTGCACAATTTCCAGGGGTTTGCCAGCCATATTAGATGTACATGGAGAACGTCAATAACATTGTAAACCCGGAGGAATCGGACCCTGGAGGAAATTCCAATAGAAAAATCCAACCCTTCAGTTCCGCCTCCCCTTCCCGGAAAATGAGACTCGATGTGACAACCTTCGTTCGGTAAACGAGTGGTTCCGAAGACTGGATTTCCCGGATGTCTTCTCGGGATATAAAAAAAAAATTCTTGACTGTGGGCGATTTTTTGTTCAACAGCGATCATAATCAAAATCCTTAACTTCATTTTACTGGTAATTTTTCAGCTTTTAATTTTTTGATTTATGTTATTCTGTTTTCCGATTCAATATGTTGGAATCAATAAATACAATATCTATCTCTAAAGTCAAAAGTGTTTTAGTTCATTTTTGATTAAGTAATTTGTGAATTTGATCGGCTCGTGGTGATTATTGATTTTCCGTGGTGTACCTGAGGTGATTTTATTCTTTGAAATAAATCTATTTTCCTTTCTTTCAACCTTGTTCTTTAGAAAGACTGGACGGACCGATATCAAAATTTTTATAAGTTGACCCCACCAACTTTAGGAAATGTTTGTTATCAGCTTAGGATCATCATCCTGTTAAAGTACCTTGGTTTCTGTTCATGGCCCATTAAACATGAACCCTCAGCTCTCTTGAAGCTTGGAGTGCAGGCTTATTCTAGAAAGCGGACTTAAGATGTGTAAGATCCTTATTTTTGGAATAACCACGAATGACATTTCTGTCTACAAATTGAAATTGTACGTTTAAAAAGTTTTAAAAACGCGTTATCAGAAAATCATGAAACATTTGGCATGGATTTAAAAAGGTCTCAGGGAAACATTAGAGATCATTATGTTACGTTTTGATCTACGCTACTTCTAATTATTAAATATGTCACATCTCTACGGGTTTGTTTATGCTTTCCTTCTCAATTTATATCGTAATAATTTAGAAGTTTAAATTGCCGTAGGGTCGTTCTGAAATTCGTTCATAAGTTCTCTTCTGGTCCTGGTCCGTCGATCCTCGCTGCTTAATTTGGTCTGATCCCCCCTGCATGAAAGGCTGTTTCCAACTAAATAATGAAGCACTCCAGCATTAGATTTTACACAATCTTCTTTATGACGATGTACTTTTGTTTGTAAACTTTGTTTTTAACTCTGCTAGGCGGAAACATTGTCAATTTTATTATAGTTGATGGATTAATAAAGTTGCTTCAGTAACTTGTGCGTTATATTTATAAAAGAATAATCAAGAGAAATGGACAAATATTAATTGTTGATTAATTTGACATATTCAATTATTGAACAGTATAGTTTTGTTATTAAAGATTTTTTTTTAAACAAATATAAGCCCGTGTAATCCTTAAAATCACGAGTTCCCAGATAAATTGTCAAAGCTCTTTAATACGTCATTAACTTCCGCAACGAACTGATCTGTCTTCTCTTTCAAAAGTTACACACCAATCTTTTGATCCTTGGTCTACTGCCAAAGCGATACCTACACTTTCTCGTCAAGAGAATCCACCACATTACCTTAAAACCTCGACATTTTTCCCCATATGCGACAGATTGAGTGCTAGTAGAAATGATAAATGATGGAGTGAGTGTGGTGTTCAAGCCTTTTTAAAAAGATAGTGCCTAGTTGTTTCGTAGACGCCGGCGGGAGAAAGTATTGGATTTTGCGGATAAAAATTTAGTAATTCGTTTGATAATTAAATCTATTGATTGACAGTTTATGATGAAAATACCGAAACTAAAATCTGGCCAGAAACAACTTAAACAAAGTTAACAAGAAGAAATAAATAAATATATGTATANTATTGTCATTTTGTCATTTTGTGTATCAACTTATCAGTCTATCTATGTATATAAGTCTATCTATCTATCTATCTATCTATCTAGATAGATAGAGTTAGATAGATAGACTGATAAGTTGATACACAAAATGACAATGTTGAAAAGTCAAAGAATAAGGACGTTCGTATGTCTTGTTGTCGACTCACGACAGTGAAGATCAGAAGATAAGTTCGTGCTTATCTGGATTGGAGTCTGGGAGCCACTCGCCGGACGGAGTCAAAGGTGCGTTCGTTCGTACCCGTCGGAAACCAGGGAGTGACTGACTGAAGACAGCTGATGTACGTTCGTGCGTACAGGTTGAAACCCAGGGAGCGACTGACGGTTTTTAGGACTTGCTGAAAATGACCTGTTTCTCCCTGCAGCGTCTTGATTTTTACAAATTTTGTGTTTTTATAATTTTTTAAAATAATAAATTTAAGACGATAAATGATAAGATTTCTAATTAACTATTAATACATAAATACGTTTACATTGGCGTAAACACTACTCACAGTAAATTGTTTTGCGACGACCGGATTCGAGCCCTTTAGCTCATCATCAGATTGAAGGACTTCTAAAACCACGTCTCTCGACATGAATTGCAAAAGTGAACCCACGGATTCCCCCACCAACGCGACGTTCAATGAACATCTGATTTTTTAATGGCGCTCAATTTGAACGTGCGAAACGCGGGAATTATAACACAAATAAATATTATAATAGTAAATACTTTTATCTCAACTTAAAACCTTAATTAATTGAATAGTAAATACTGTAAGAAATTATTTATAAATTAGTGATTAAAGATAAAAGATAGAAAATTAGAATGATACCTTAATATTAAATAAATTACTGTAAAAATAATAACAATTAAAATAATTAATTTAATTATTTGGACGTTTAATATTATTTATGTACATATTTAAAATGGGAGGTAGATCAATCTGTTATATTATTAATGCATTTATCACCATGTTCAATTTTACATTTTTTAATTTAAAATTTCTCAAGTATTTAAATTTGAATTGAAGTTATGTTTTGTTTCTTTTAGACGGTCCTTAAATTCCGAAAATTTGCTCGATTTAGGCAAGTGTTCTTTAACTCTCGTTTTTATTTCTCTACCGCTTTGTGCTATATATTTAATATCACAATCATTTATCAATTATCTTTTTAAAAAGGATCAAAAAGGATTGAGTGGTAGTGTTGGCTGGTTTCTTTTAACCTGGGTTTTCTGCGTGTAGTGCTGGCCGTAGTGTCAGTGTCGTGACTGGGTGAAAAATCCATATAACCAACCCCACATATTGTAGCTCATGTTTTGATACAACTACATATAAATTAATTTCTTTTAATGTTTTCCATTCTTTTTTTTTTTCAATTTGTTTATAGCAGATGAAGAAGCAAATAACCTCAACGACTAATTAAACTTTGATATACAGCTATACCACACTGTACTACTCTCTTTGTTTCGTGTCGAATTTAATAAAAATTTACCTTTTATCATGACGTTTGTATTTTAAAAACATTTCCGTTTTTGTGTTTCAGGGCCAGTTAGAGTATAAAATTCAACCAGGGGATAAAATATTGTTCATCAGTACGTTACACGGAGGTTGAAGCGTTAAAGTATTCTATTTTATCATAATAAAAAAACTTTTTTTTTGTAAACCCGCCGAACGAATATGTGAGTTGACAAATTCCAAAATGTATTTTTCTCATCCATTTTCAATATTTTCTTATATCCTCGTCCTGAGGGCAACTCTGTAAAAGTCGAGTTGTAGTTTGATTGATTACGGCCAAGTTGACTCTTGCCGATTGATTGATCGCATCAGGACCAGAATTCCCTTGTAACTTGTTTTAACACAATTGTTTATAATCGTTCATTGTCCTGTCGGCGGCTGATTTAAATCGATTCGTTCCGATAATTTTTGGACAAGTTTGTTAGATTTGTTTATAATCTCAGAACTTCAGACTATTTTAACTGATTACTTTTCTAACGATTACTGTAGGAAAAGGAATTTTTCAGTGAAAAATTAGAAATGGAGAAAATGTACAAGGTTCACCAACGTTTGTTTCAAGAAATATGCATAAGATATACTTTATTATTTGATATAATATAGTAACATAAATGTAATAGTATATAAGGTAATTGTGTTAATAAAATATATGTTTAATTGCAATTTTTGATACACCTCATCGCCTTGAAAGAAGCAGTGATTATCCATCTTTTCATTTCAGGAAAAGAAAATTAAATGTTTTAAGGAAAAGCTTTAAAAAACGACCTAGAAAGTTTTTATAATTGAAAATTGACGGAATTGGTAGACGCATAAATAAGAAAGAGAAACTGAAGGTAAGGAAAAAGTTCGTCATTTTTCATTTGTTTGAAAACGCCGTGTATACTGATGATGCCTGTGGGTCTTATTTCGTATTCTGATCACAATCCTATGTTCTAACTTATAATTTATTAATGACTTATTTAAATTGTATGACATTGTGAACCGAATGCAGAACCCGGTTGTACGATAAACTCGTATTAATGCATTCGCAGAATGCATATTCATAAAATTGATCACCACACACACACACACACACACACACACACACACACACACACACACACACACACACACACACACACACACACACAGAGCCACCCAAATAGCCAATAAAGTGACGACATGTTATCAAAACTGTTAGTAACTTTCACTCATGTCGTTTATAAGCATAAACATAAAGACAATATGTTTTATTAACTACACTGCCCACAAAAAAAATAAAAAAAGACCACCTGGTTTTGGTGCGAAAAAATGCCAATTTTGGAAATGCTTACTTTCTCAGCCTTTTAAGTCACAGACCTGCGCTAGCTCTCATTTTTTAGAAAATTTTACGCTGAATAAGACGGTTTTTTTAAAAATTTTCAATCATATATCAGAAAATTCAAAAATTCGGGAACTTAATTTTTCCAATTAATTAAGGTTTTTAGATGAGATAAAAAAGTCAATGGCACGAGCGGGATTCGAACCCACTATCTTCGGCTAGATACGCTGCTGCTCTACCACTTGAGCTATCGTGACTTCGATCCACTCGGACACTAACTTCCCATCTTAACCCCACCTTTTGAATTTTCCCTCCTTTTTGCCATTTTTCAGTGGTAGAGCAGCGGCGTATTTAGGCGAAGGTCCTGTGTTCGAGACCCCCTCATGACACTGACTTTTTTATCTCAACTAAAAACCTTAATTAATTGAAAGTTATTAATTGGTCAAGCGGACCACGAAATTACTGAACGTAATTTTTCGCTTTGTACGACGAAGTAAAACTTTAAATTGAGCTTTGAAGTCAGGAACTCGTCCTGGAGCGGCGCCTTATTGCAATCGATGGGAAATTTTAATAAGCTTTCAATTCGTCTCCTACCGTTTTGCCCGATTTCTCAAACGTTTTCTACTTATTTGCTTTTGCAGCAGCGATTGTCAATGACCTGATATTTCCCTGGAGAAGGATTGAGTCTATTGCACTAAACTAAGGAACTAGGAAGGTACAATAAGCCAAAAGGAGTGCCTGCGGATCGCAAATCCCGCTTCCTAGTGTCTTTTTTACTATAACATATCATACCATAGTTATTCGTGATTTTTGGGCAAAAACGTGGTTTTTTTACGTGCTCATGGAAAAATACCGATCACTCTCTCTCTCTCCCGATTTTCAAGAACGCGTAAATTTTAAAAGCTTATTAAAATTTCCTATCGATTGCCATTTGGCGAAATTAGGATAGGACGATTCCCTGTCTCCACAGCTCAATCTAAAGTTTTCGTAAAAAGTGCATAAATTAACATGTTCCCGTTTTGTCGAATTTACTGATGAATGACTGAACCAAGGAAACATTTATAAAAAAGACTTGTCCACCGTAAAATTTTACAAAAAATGAGACCATTTTTTATAGTGTTATAAATTGTTATAGGGGTTATGACTTAAATCGAATCCAGCGGCATTACACTCGTAAAAAAATTAATATTTTTAATAGTTAGTATTTACACTTAAACTCTGAAATGAAATAAAATAGACCAAACTGATACCAACTCGGCGCGATGTTTATACAGTTCCGCATAACTCCTTGGTTTTGCGGGTTTAGCCTATTTTTACCGCGAATTTTTATATCAAAGACTTTACTGATTATTTCTCTTTTATTTATAACTTTCATATGGTTATTTAATTTGTTTTGATTTTAAAATATTAAATCAACCCCAGTCGACGTATAGGACCAATTATTTATTTAAAAACATTATATCATACTTTTTTGTTTATATTCATCGCCGTAAAAATGCAACCATGAAATATCCATGTAGGAAACAGAGTAACAAATAAATCCACACACGTTTTTGTAATACTTTTCAATTTTCAATAGGTTTAATATTTTATTTTCTCTTTATTACTTTTCGAATCCTATAACACTTTGTTTATTAATTAAATTTCATGACAGCGACATTCGGTCTGGTGATTTTTCGATTGCTGTATGAAAAAACAATTACAATGACCAATACGTTTGGCGATTGTAATTGTTTATAGTTCAGGAGTAATCGCATCAAACGGCCGGATTTTGAAATAAGAGCTTGACACCAACAGGACTTGGTTTCAAACGACGACAATGTTGCAGTAGTGAAAAATAACTTTTTTCCAGTCCAGTTATTGGTTACGGCCCGTTTGAAGTGTTGTGTTTTGAACAAAAGGGAGTGGTTTTTCAATCAACGGCGCTGGACAATGCTCGGGGAACAATGGCCAGAGAGGTTAGCATTTCTGGAGGGCGAGGGTTATGTAACGGTTGCGCAATATCTGTGTTAATTAAAATGATTACCTAACCCTCTTCTTCTTGGGAATATTGTAACTTCCATTTTCTCGCCAAACAAGCGCGGGAATGTAATTTACTCGTTGGCTAAAATTTTTGTGTTGATTAATTTGTGCTGAGGTTGCGTGATACAAATACAAAAGGAAATTCCCATCGCCCAGAAATATTATCATTACGTTTGTTTTAAATAATAATAATAGTAATAATCTATTAATCGTGAGTTACGTCAACATTATGTGGAAGGGTGTGGTATGGAAAGTACACTACGATGGTTTGTGTGACAGGATAATAGTTTTTAAACTTCCTCTATCTAGTTTTGGCATCTTCAAGGACATATTGGATACATAGAAAGGTGCGTTGAAATGGTTCCAAAGACTGGATTGTAAAAATTAAAAACTTTAGAGTTTAGAACGTTCTGTTGGGGTTTAATGCGTTATTATCGGGTTGTCCGGAAAATAATGCAGGATTTTAAGTTTTCATTAAAAAAAATCTATATAAAATATTCTGTTTACGTTTACAGGATTACTCATTTGTATGAATGTCAANGGGAAATTATTTTGATTAAAGAACATTGCTTTAAAGTAACTAGTTTCTTTTTTTTTGTTTAATACCAAAATCCTGCATTATTTTCCGGACAACCCAATAATAAATGGGTCTTAGTTTAAAGTAAACATGGCGCTTGTTCTATACAGGATGTCCCAGTTCCTTCTGACGAAACTCAGGGAATCGACTCAAAAAATCCCAAGGAGAAAATTTTCGGAATGTTCTCTATTATGAAGATATTCGTCAATTTAGGTTTTTCAACTTTTCACTACCTTACAACATAAAAACGCTTACAACTTCCAAAATGTTGAGGCTACAACAAATCCCCTACATACATACAACAATCAGAGGAGCGGCGTATATGGCCCAAGGTCGTGGGTTTGAATCCCGCTCGTGACAATGACTTTTTTATCTCAACCAAAACCTTATATAGTCTATATATTAGTGAAGTATACTTCATTTTAAATCATTAAATTCACTAAACGAAAATCCACCTTTGAAAATGGCAAAAAGGAGGGAAAATTCAAAAGGTGGGGTTGAAATGGAAGTTAGCGTCGGAGTGGATCGAGGTCACGATAGCTCAAGTGGTAGAGGAGCGGCGTATATGGCCCAAGGTCGTGGGTTTGAATCCCGCTCGTGACACTGACTTTTTTATCTCGGTCAATACCTTTCATAAATATTAATTAAATGAAAAGTGTTAATTGGTCAATCGTACCACGAACTGAAATGCATTTAAAAAATAATATTTAAAGGGAAATGGAACCTCATATGATGCGGAAAACACAACAATCCGTTATCTTCAAAACCCTTGACCTGTTTTGATTATTTTTGAATAAACTTTATTTATTCTTTACTTTGATTCTTAAAACTGGAGAAAACCAAATTTTTACTGTGGTTGAATAAACTTTAATACAATACAACTCCTTCATAGAAATATTTAAAAAAGCATGAAGAAAACAAGAAAATTTATTATATTTTTTATTGTATACAATATAGCGGGGAATGACATGAATGGGAATATTTTCATATCAATAGTTATATATCTCTAAAGTGTGCACTCCTTCCGATATTCATCTCTTATACAACATAATAGGCCAGAAAAGCCCCTGAAGGGTGTATGCAAAATTTAACATAAAGTAACTCATGCATAAATTTAAATTTATGTACATACATTGTGCGGGTTGGAGCGTTTTTTTACTTATTTGTTAATAAAAGATGAAAAGAATTTTTTTTATCGTTTTAATATTGAG